TGTAATCATTTTTGTCTATCCACCTAGAGTTCATTAATGTCAATAAAAATTAACATTTTTAAATTATAGGGTAAACCAATATTGGCTCATACAGACATAATAGCTATTAAATATAAAATTAATGTGGTTAATACAGGTGGAAGATTTAAAAATAAGTTTTCAAATAAAGCATTGACCTATTCGTAAATGTGGGAAGATTTCCAGACAAAATTAAAATTAAAATTAAAGAGAACAGTCTCCCAATATCTAGTCACCCAAAGCACATTCCAATAGTTAATTGATAAATTTAAACAATTATTAGACAAGTTGTGTGAGGAAAAATTATAGATAAAACGGTAGAGCCTAGTGAATGGCAATACCCACTGGTAAATTTAGAAGTCTGATAAGTCGCTACGCATATGTCTAAACCTAAGACACCTAAATAAGCATATAGTTTGAAAAATGGTTCAATTTCCCACAATTCGAAGAAGTGAAAAAAAATAACAAACAAAAATTATTATTCAATATTTAATCCTATTGACAAATTCTATCAGTGTGAGTTATAGACACAGTCAATAAAGTTTTGTAAAAAGATGTTGTTTTTTAAGATTACCTTTAGGTTTAGCTAAAACTCCAGAAATTTTTCAATAACCGACTTCAAAGTATTAATGGATGAAAAATAAAAGTGTATATTTTGACGATATACTGGTAAGTAGAGAAACAAACAAAACATGATACAGCATTAAACGATAAAGATGGTTCAATGTATTGTAATTTGTTAAACTATAGAAATACACCAGAAGCAAGTTCACCTTATTTCCCAGTACAGTTGTTGCAGGGTTGTAAAAAAACCTGAGAAACTTTATATTTAAGTTTTGTTTATCATTGTAAATTTTATATACATTTTTTGTTTTTAATAATATTTGTTGAATGAGTATAAAGCTCATAGTTATAGTTATAAGTAGAGCCCGGATTTATATGTTCTGAAATTCCACAATAAAGCTCTTGAAAACACCAAAAAGAGACTTAAAAAAAATCAATTAACAAATATATAAGAACGCAAAAATAAGATTGGGGTTTAATAGTATTCTCTCTAACCAATTTCATTTATAAATACAATTTTCTAAAGTGCCCTGTAAACGATCAAATTATTTGTCAAATTTCCGTTTTAACACAAACGTGTATGTAAAAGCTTGTTTGACATTTTTGTCAAACTATGTAAATGTTTGACGTGTTTGATGAAAATTTTGATTGACAGCGTGTTTGACAAACCTATTTGATAATATGTGTTTGTAGGTGTTTGTCAAATAAGGTCTCAGTTATCACCTTGAAACCATGGCGAACACAACTGCGATGAATGACAACGAATATAGCGGCAATATTTCTGACACTATGCGGCAAGAAAAGCCCGAAACTACGAGAGCTTTTAACAAATTTGTTTAATATTTGGTTTGATCGTTTGAGCCATTGTTTGATGAAAACAAGAAGTTTGACAAACAAGTTTAATCAAACAAATTTATTCGTTTACGGGGGCCTTAACACGAAAACATGATTAATAAAAAGTAACTTTTTTATAATATTTATATGATTCTATTTAATAGAAATCATTTAGTGTTAATCATTTTTGTAATGTTAGGAAATTTAATTTAATAACTTAGTCATAAGAGAGGAAATTTAAAAGCCCTCCATCATTTTTACTATTTTAAATGTTTTTTTGTGGATTATAAAAAAATATAAATCCGGTCTTTGGTTATAAGGTTCATTGAACATTAATTAGTTAAAATTTGCTGTAAGTGTCTTCAGACTTAACTGAAAATCTCCAAATGTTTTTATAAATACTTCACTATTTTTCATAGGTATACCAATTTTCTTATACAATAATTTTACTTTGTTCATCCAGGTGTTATTCACACACAATTCAACTTCAAACATTAAATGCTCAAATTCTGTGGTTTTCCTATTGTATTTACTTATCTACTTTCACATTTTTTATTCTTGTTTTTATTTTTACAATTAAAATGATTTTTTTTCTTATATTTATTACAATACAGTAAAACATCGATTATCCGTCAACTTCTGTAATATATTCATAATAGTATTGTGACAAAAAAATAATAATAATAATCAAAATAGAAAAATAAAAACCTCACCTACTAAAAAAAACGCACAGTTTGTATAAACAAACAAAAATTACTCGTTTTGTCAAATTATTTTATTTTATACTATATATATATATATAAACTATGTGTAGTATAAAATCAATATATAAAAAATATATATATATGAATATTTTTTTTTCTTTTATCTGTCCGATCGGATTATCAGTCACTCTCTTCGTCCTATTACAGACAGATAATCGAGGTTTAACTGTACTAATTAAAAGTTGGACATTCTTTTATTCCATGTGATCTACCACATATATAACAATTAAATGTATATATATATTTTTATATTACCTATCTTATTTTGATCCTTCCTCGAATTGTCTATTGTCCTCTTCTTTAACCTGCTCCGTTGCTTCTTTTTTTCTGCTGTTTCAAACTTGTTCCTCCATTCCTGTTCGATTAATTTTCCATTATTTTTCTGCTCCTTCACCAGTGATTTACTATTGATTTCTGCTTGCTCAACTATTGACAGTGTTCCACTATTTTAGTTAGAGGCTAATTTCTCCTTAATAATGTTGATTGTAAGTCTTTATCATATAACCCAAGAACAATTTGTATTTTCAACATTCTTTTGATTATTTCATTAAGTTGTAGATTTTTGATTCGTTCTTAAGTCTGTAAACAATTTATCAAAAATTTCATTGTATACATGCTTTCTTGTGAAAATGTAGTATTTCATTATTTCATTCCAAATAGGCATCAATACTCCGCTAATTTTCTAAATATGATTTTTACAGTTTCTTTACTAGGTTCAACATTGAATGGTGTGTAGATTCATACTCAATTAAGGCTAATTAATTTAATAAACGTGTCTCCTGTACCTTCATTAGTTTTGCTGTTGTTTCTGTTCCTTCGAAGAATACTTGAACGTCTTACTTAAATAGCTAATAATTCTCGGAAACATTCCTAGTTAATTTTAACCACTCAGGCTTATTGAACTTCATATTGTATCATTAACTATTGAGTCAAATTTTTTATCCAGTTGGATCCAAAATTGAATGGGGTTCACGACTGTGCCGTGTTTTATTATCTTTTATTAAGAACATTAATAACTGAAACTGACAACAATTGACTAATTAAAAAGTAATATTTATTAATCACATTAAATTGATTGAACACACTACTTTTGACATAAACAAGAGGAACGAAAAACATATTTCGTTGTCCAGACTGTGTGAATGTGTCGGTGTACATCAGTTATTACACCGACACATTCGCAGTTCACACACACAGACACAGAACGAGCGTCTCATTACAGGCTGGCAAACTGACTGCCACGCGTGCAGATTCCCTTATCATAACATTATCACTGTTATTTTCAAATTAGATAATTTGATTATGCACGCGAATTTAAATTATTATTTTATTTATTGTCACTGTTCTAACTTGAACAATAATGCTTTATACTCTCAATATTGGATTACATTTACATACATAAAATATTTACATTAAATTTTTAATTTCCCGTTGATATCTACTCCCTATAAGCAAAGCTTGACATGTTAAGAGTAGGGAGTCTATTACAATAACTAATTATTACATTTTAAACACATATTTAAATCTAGGTATAATTTTAATTTATTATTATTATTATTTTATTCATAAACATAAGTATTTTATATTAATTATACTTAAATTAATGATAATATATTAAGAATTATCGATGAAAACAATATTTCTGAGTTTAGGTTCTAATATTAATCTTAAATTACCTGTATTCTCTCTCCTTGTATTATGAAATTCTAAATTAAAATTTTATTCATATACACTTAAGTGATTGATAGTTTATTATATAATTGTTCTAATCTTAAGGAGATGTAAAGAGAATTTTAAGAAAATAATGTTAAGACAATGTCATAATTAAAAATAATACATAATACTATGAACTTTCCATGTTGTAAATAGTCTAAATATAATTTATTAATCTCTGGCCTATGTTGCTGACATAATCATTTTTCATACTTATTTTGATTTTCATAAAGCTAGTATTTTATTTTTAAATATAGTAAGTAAATAAATAAATGAAAGAATGAAATATTATGATAGGTGTTTTAAAAAAACAGTTTTGAATTGAACATTCATTATCAAGTACATTTAAAACAAGTCTGAATATAAAAAACTAAATGAAGGGATACATGGAAAAAAAAGTATACAAATTGGTCGTTTTACTTAGAAATAATTTATTATAATTGGACAGATTAATTAAAATTAATTATTATTTGACATAGATAATTTAAAAAGTATTCATTTTTTGGTTATTATTTATTATCTAAAATGTATTGATGTAAAATATTATTAAAATTATTTTTCTTTACTTAATTGTTTATGTGTAATTCTTCTAAAACTGAATTAATGTAAATGTTATTTTGGATATTTAATTATTCTAAGTCTATATTAATATCAAAACTAATATTGTGATTATTTTCTAAAATATGTTTACCAAAATCTAACTAGAGGCAGTATTTTTTAATTTTGTTTCAAAAATTGTTTTCTTTATATCTTATTTTAAAATGTCTATTTGACTTACCTATATAAAATGTATTACAGTTACATTAAAGTTTATATAGACCAGCATTTTCAAAAGAAGGGTGATTTTTTGTTAAGTTATTTCCATTGTTTATACATTTGATTAAATTATTATTATTGTTAAAAGCGATTTTTACATTATTTGTATTATTGTTCAGAATTTTAGCAAATTTGTTGGACATATTGTTTTGATATTTCATAACAATATTTAGTGAGTTCTGTTTTATTTTTTATTTTATATGTTTATGAATTTTTTTAATAGTATTTATATTAAAATTATTTCTATGGGCTATATTAAAGATAATATTGGACTCTTGTTAATAATTATGTTTATTTAATAGCAAGCATATAGAATATTGAATTTAAAAATAATATTTTTTGAGAATAAGTGTGATTATAATCATGTGGTATTATAGTATCAGTTTTTGTAGGTTTCCTATAAATAATAAAATCAAATTCTTTTTTTTATTATGGAAACTTTAAGATCTAAGAAATTTAATTTATTATTTATTTATATTTCAAATGTTAATTTTATGTTTTAATTTATTTTGTTTAAGTAGTACTCTCAATTTTCTGTTTGTCTATTTGAACCTCTAAATAAAATGAAAGTGTTACAACATATCTATCATATGCTTTTCAATATAGACAGTATATTTTGTTGTTAATAAAAATTATTAGGTTCATAATTTTGTGTGTAAATTCTAGATAAAAGAGCACTCAAGGTCCACCCATAACTAAACCTTTTTTTTTTTGCGAATATAATTTATTATTATACTGAAAATAGTTTTGATTAATAATTACATTTATTGATTGAATACTTTCTTATACTTCGTTTACATTGAAATTATTATCATGCTTAAGTTAATTTTTTTAAAAAATTTACATTTTTGTGTTCAGGAATGAATGTATACACATTTTGTATGTCGAGAGAGATTATTTTGCAACCAGCCTCAATACCTATTAATTATATTAATTTTTTCCAATGCAATCATAAGTGTTTTTATAGAAGTATTAATATTCATATTTATTTTTCTTTTATGAGAGAATCTAAATATTTAGCAAGATTATAAGATGGAGCAGTTTAAAGTTAATTAATGGACAAATCAAATTTATCTTTTTATGTAATTTTATGAATCTAAGTTTGGAGCCTCTACTTTGTAATCAGTTTTTAATAATATTTTCTTTTGGGCTTTAGGTATGATTTATTTGACTTTATTATCAGTTTATTAATTTGTTTAGTGTAAATTATAGTTAGATCATGTTGTATATCCCTTTAATTATGATACCACTCAAACACAAAATAAAAATAAACATAAAGGTTATTAAATAAACTTTATTTAAACTAATGAACGTAGCCCAGGGTCATCGCCACACAGATTCTTTTCTCACTCTCTCTTTCTACTTCTTTTATAGTCAACCAATATTAATAATTTACTCTTTTTGCTTAAACCTAACCTAGACACATTTATTATTAAAATTATGATTATTTATGGAGAAGGGGGATGGGATTAAGTTTTGAATATTCTTATTACGGCTGTGAATTTGTGGGAAAGTGAATTTTTTTTTTTTTTTTGTGATTGAAAATCGTAGCTTTGTATGTACATAACTTGAATTATGAAACAACAAATCAATTTATGAAACTTTTGAATTGCACTTTTGATGTTTCTAATTAATTAATATAATTAATATAATGTAATTATACAAATTAAATTAAAAACCATTTTATACTACAATTTTGGCATTTTATTGAATTTTTTGACATTTTAAATGCATTTTTTAAGGTTTTTTAGTGCATTAAATTCACAACCTTAATTATTATTATTTATAAAATCTAAAAATTTTTTCACAAATTTCATTAGTGTGAATTATAATATTTCTGAATATTTTGTTTTTAATTTATTCACTAGGTTGTTAATAATTGTATTTTGTTGTTTAGTTAAACAACAATACTATTTAGTTTAAATATTTTATTAGTTTTATTTTTGTAATTTTTATTGGTGTTGTTTGTTATATCTTGTTTGATTTTGATTTTGAAATTATATATAATTTATAATAGATACACATTGTATTAATTATTTTTTAATATTTATATACTGAATATATTACCTACATTAAATTAGCTTGTGGTTGAAAATAATGTTGGTTTTAAGTTGTAATTTGTGTGTATTTTGTGCTACTGAAATATTAATTTTATCATTAACCCTATGTCACTTCTCATTTTTCTGAATTTCACATTTCTGAACAAAAATTTAAAAAGACTGCCCTTAGTTCAAATTTCACTAAACATGTTTTAAAAAATAACCATAATATAAGTTTTGATATTAATACAGACATAAAAATATTAAATACCCAAAATAACATTGGTTTTTATTTAGTTTTAGAAGATATGTATGAATTACACATACACAATGAAATAATAAAATAATTTTTATTTTAATAATATTTTATATATACAAAACCAATTTTAAAAATAAGATATTATATCAATACATTTTAGATAATAAATAATAACCAAATAATTTACATTTCTTAGCATATCTAGGTTTAATAATAACTCATTTTAAATAATACAACTTAGGATTTTAGTAATTTGTTAAATTTTTAAAAATGAAAGTTTAATAATATAATGTATTTATTTAAGAATAAAATGTTAAGATTTGTAACACGTACCTTAAATCTTTGTTATCTGTGGATACATATTGACCTTCATCAGATTCTTGCATTGGAATAAGCAAGCCACTAATTGGATCAATTAATACTGTAGTTTCCGAAAAAGTTGAAGACGATGATGTAGATAGCGAAGGTGTTGAAGTTAATAGCCGATTTGTATCAGAATTTTGTTCATTAATGATTTCAATAGTTTCTAGTTTAGACATTGAATGTGGAGATTCAGCTTTAAATTTTTTTCCTAATAATTTGTTTAGTTTTTTGTGGAGATATTTCTAGATTCAGCAAAGAAATTACTTAAGACTTAGAACGTGTTATCCTTTTAAAGTGCTCTTACTTCCATAATTTTTCTACTAAAAAACAAAATTATAAATAAATTAAATCAGTAGAAATTATTGGAATATTTATGAAAACGATTAAATTTTAAAATTTACCTGCAGTCTTCTAGATTTTCTAACTAATGAATATGTGCTCACTACCACAACACCAGTTGGAAGAGCTGATGATATAACTCGTACTGGTACTGGAGTTTTAAGAAGAAGTTCTGGAGATTTACAATATTTTCGGTTGGCTTTCTCATCCTCGTCCGTGAATTCATACACATTAGTTAAAATGGTTTATTGAGGCATATTTAGGGTTACAATATTTTTTCAAGTACGTCTTGAAGTCACTATGGTATGCGTAGTTCTTCGTGAACCATTTCCTCTACCACCTTTGCACCATGAGTTTATTAAATTAATACAATTCAATATGAATAATAAAATAATAAAAAGTATATGAGAAAATAAAATTATACTTCGTTCAATACTTTTTGGTATATCTTTAGTGAATTCATTATGCTATTTGATTCTAGCAGTATTCAATTATTTGAGTTCACAACTACTTTCACCAGGACTAGCAAATACTTAATTTTTCTCTTCAATTTTCAGTGTCAATAGCACTATAACTAGATCTTCAGGAGATTCAATTACAACTATTTTAGATTTAATTTCTAAAACATCTACTTTATTCTCGGTCCTATTTTTATCCTTGACTTTTGAAGTAAATACCTTTTTAATGACATTACATGTACACATTGTAAGCATTCTGAAAAACAAACAGGTATTAAATGTAATGATTTAGTTTGCTAATGTTCTATTTTGATCTTCAAAGAACCATGTCTATTATGTCTACCTTTCAATTAATTAATGACAGATTTAAATACCTGAGTACTTCCAGGTGTTGTAATATTAATGATGCCCGCTGGTTGTGTTTGTTGTAAATAAGTAATAAAACATTATGCAAGGTGTAACTCTGTTGATTCCATTCTTCTTCATTCATACCAATAGGCACAGCAATTAATACTCAACATTCATCTTCAATCATAATACATTCATCAGGAAGCATTTTGTGTAATTCTAAGGGTGGCTTTCTTTTTCGACTTGAAAATGTACTAAGAAATGTATACCACTCTAGTCACTATTGGCTATAAGCGAGAATAGAACTCTACCTATACTTCATCAACCGGACCATGCCACCAGAACAATGAACAATGTAGCCACGGTCGGGTACTAGCTGATCAAGTGGTTGTTCACTTAACTTGGCGTCATATACCTGCCGGACCACCAATGCCTGCGAAATCCATACTTTAGAAAAAATCATGTTGAGCACTGCCATGCCGATCAACATCGTGCCCAAAGAGCCCATCACGAAACCAATGTAGCGAAAGACCTCCAGCATAACTAAGATTCCGCGCCAATAATCGCCTTCGCCAAATGAACGATGCTTGCATATTGATTATCTTGTTCCTTTTTTCGATGACCATAGCCTGTTTGTACTCGGCCACCAGCACCTTGTTGTCAGACATCAAAAGCAGCAAGGTTATAATATAATACAACAGGCCATAGCGATGTGTATGACTTATTATTTTAGATAGAAGCGGCTTTCGATTATTAAATTGAAGCTAGAAGATGCCTCCCAGCAGTGTAGCCAATTTTAAAATAATATTATTATACTATTGCATTCTTTTCAGTACAATATTTATAGTAACTGTTATTATATACAAAATTTAAATTTTTATTACTAATTTATTGTTGATGATATTAAAGTTGAAGTCTTAGAATACATTATAACACTTTTGCACTTAAACTTTTAATACACTAATACATGCCATTAAAGTATATCATCTAATGTTACTAACAAAATAAAATAAATTCAGTGGTCTATTTTACTATTTTTCGTGAACATGACACATACAGAGTGATTCACTAAATGTGCTCAACCGATTTTTACAGTTAAATTTTGTATATACGTATATTCAAATTCTGATTTTTAAAATTTTTAAGTGTAACTAAAACCAATATTTTCGAATACTTAGATTTTCACAACATTTCAGGAGTATCCTATGATAATACCAACTTTGGCTTTTTAAATGAGAACCTATATTAAAAATTCCATAAATAGATGGAGTATTACTTTAAATACATTTTAGTGTCAACATTTTTGATTTCCGTCAACTCATTAACGAGATATTCCACTTTTAAATTTAGACAACGGGGGAGTAGTGAAGTAACATTTATGTGGTGGCACCGCGCGCGTCATTTTATAAATGCTCCATTACTTTTCCCTAAATAAAAAAAAAGTATTTATGGAATTTATAGGAAATTAGAAATTTATTATAAATAAATATTTGTTTAATTCATGCATAGTATTGAACTCATAAATTAATGAATAGATTCATTGAATTGAATTGAATTCATTCAAAGTATTAAATTATTTCTGAGTTAATATACAGCACAATTTATTTATTTTAAATTTTCAGTGTAAAATGAAGTAAATTGTATTGTTGTATGATGTTATTAACAGCATAGTAATAAATAGTCTATAGGAGATGGTTAGGTAGGTTAAGAAAGCACACATATGGTCATAGATAATAAAAACATCGTTAGAGCATGCTTATACTAATCAAAGAAGAGGCTCGGTCTCCGGAATAGTGGCCAACTCAGAAAAAAAGAGCGATAAGCAGTTGGCTACGGAACGTTCGAAGGGATGATACCACAACTCCTACAACCTGAAATCTGAAATTTAAATAAGCCACTATCACGATCCCAGATTATTTGAATAAGCTGCATTACCATGTACCTACCAGGATGAGTGTTAGAAGTAATAAGCTTGTATTGTGCTATTGTGGTGATTATTAAAATTATTTATTATAAATATTCCCTGTATATTTTTCCAAAATTTAAGAAAATTGCCTTTACACAACCCCTAATATACGGGAAATAGCATTAATTAAATATATTAATATATTCTAATATACAAATATCTCGTGTCACGGTGTTTGTGGTCGTACTCCTCCAAAACAACTCGACCGATTTTAATTAATTTTTTTTTTGTCTATTTGGTAGGTATGATAATAGGTCGTTAAGTATTTTCCACTCTCCTACCACCACCCCCCATTTTTTAATCATAATTTTAGTATTTTCGTATAAAGTCCCGCGGTAATGAATTGGTGGTAATTCGGACGATTGATCTCCTCGGCGTGTGATTAGGCTATTAGTTACACGGCCTGTTAGTGTTTGTACGCGACCATGAAGCATTGGCAGCGGGGACGTTAATACGTATTATTAAAACAACGCAAATATTAAAAATATTCTGTCATTTTGTTATAACTTGATAAAATACTAGAGAATTTCCAATAGCATTTACATAATATTGCTTAGTAAAATAAAGGTACTTAATGTTTCAACAATGGGTTAATATTTCTCCTAACACCTATACAGGTAGATCACAATTTGTACATGTTACCAAAAAATTATACAAATTAGGACACTAAATTTCTTGGCGTTTTTTTTTTTTTTAAATCACAGTTGGTGTCAAAAATTTTAAATTCCTGCCACATAAATTGTTATCATTTTGTTGGACAAAGGTAGCCAAACTTTTTTTGTTAGAGATCTACTAAGAATATATTTTTCCTTTTAGGATCGATTTCCTAACAAAAAAGTTTAATTACAAATTACCTAAAAGGTATTAATAGTACACATACATGTACAAAATAATACAACTAAAACGTTTTAATTTTATAACTTTACAAATTTACAACAAAATAAGGATAATATATTAAGATAAAAATAATCAGCAATTGTTATTCATCTACTAATTACATAAAAATAAATTCTAACGAAATGGAGATACACTTTTAAATCATCTACCGGTCGATCACGTTTGATCACCCCTGTTAAAGATCCGGATTTCTGCCCACGTTCGAATCACGACCGGTACACGCCCAGGTGTACCAACCATATATAATACATAATGGATAAGACTCCAAACCACATGCCAAAAAAGCCCAAAGGTAAACATAATGGTAACCACATGGTATTATTGGTTACCTAACGTTATTATTTATAAGAGATAGTACCTATGGCGAGATAGATAACACAAAAATCCAATTTTGTTTTGGTTCGAATTCCGTACTTTCTTTTGTTTAAATTTACTTTTATTAAACTTTTATTCAAATGATATTACTGCAGATTACATAAACTTGGATACATTATCAATATATGTTGATGGCGTTTGTTCATACATTGCTGGTTTTGTGGTAAAAACATTAGAAGCAAGAATAAATTGTAAATATTGTAAAACGCAGCGTTAATATGATTACCATAAAGTCATTTAAATATAATCAAAGATAAAGGGGGCCTTAAAAAGGCAAGTAAAGATTTAATATCAATAAGCAAAATATCCGAGAATATATTTCAACAACAGCACACGTCATCTGTAATAAAAACGAAAAATAATTTTTCGCTTATAATAAATAAATTTAAAAATGTTTTACACTAGGTGCAATATATTTGAAAAAATGGATTGTGTATCTATTGATCCTAGTACCTTACTTGATGGCATTCAACAATTTGATACTCATAGAAAATGTAATACAAAAATATATCAAAATTAGACTATTCCACGGAGCTAGAAAAACGAATGACATTCTTAAAATTAAGAAAAAGTTAAAACAAATTCAACATTTTAGGAATGAATAAGGATTGGGTATTACAAACTTTTTAATAATTTAATTATACTATATTTTATACTTATGACAATATTTGGTACACTGATTTTTTTATACTAATTAATAACCATTATAATAGATATTTTTACTTACATTTTTAGGCATTTATATATTGTAATTTTTATATTTATATTTAACTTTAATGTTAAAGGTCATGTGACTATGGGGGTATTCGTGTGGCATGCTTAGAGGCTTACTAGGTGCTTTTGCCAACGCTCACGCTAATAAACGGTTCGTTTAGACATATGGCTAAACAGCACAGCTAAGTGGATCTCAAGACGAAAGCAAATAAGAGCATACTGTTTGTACGATTATCGCAGTTATCAGCTGTTAATTTTTATCACTAAGTACTACAATTATAACGACTAACGATGTTATTTTAAAATTTGTTAAAATATTATGTACTTCAAACATTTTTATTTCTATAAATGTATATAAATCGTAATCTAAATAGCGTGATAGTATTCCACGAAAAATAATAATTTATTATTAGGTGAAAACATAATTTAAACAACATTTTTATTATCAAACCTTTTTATTTTGATACCATTATGATATTTTAACCAGAAATGTGGTATCTCTCGGGTTCTTTTGACCCGCTACCCGATATACGATTCACATAGGCAATTCATATCCTTAATGTATTTTTTATGGTACCCACACAGAGGGTAATTGATATGGCGGAAAAACCGCTTAAAAAAAAAAGATTTGTTTTTATCTTAAAACCAATATATTAATGTTGTTGTATTTAAATGTTTATGTATGGTTCATGTAAATGAGTGCATATAAATATAATACGCATATACATATATACAACATAAACACATAAACACGGAAAGATATAAATTATATGTTCACATATGCATAAATACATATTGTATATAATGCATGTGTTTTTTCAATTTATTATTTTAATTATAAATATATGATTGTATTATGTAATGTATATGTTCTTATTTTTATTTATTCGTTTTTATGATTTGTATACAAACATTTACATATATTATAATGTATAATGTATTAAATATGTTTAAAAAAACCTTTAACTCATAAATGTATCAGTTTTCTATATGAGTGCATAAAACATTTTACCAAAAACTATCTATTTTAGTACTATTGTTTAAATACAATAAACATTCATTAATTTCATTCCAATTAATAATATAACATTTGGCTGTTTAAATTAAATCATTAATAAATTGTATTCTATACATTAATGTAAATTTTCAAGTCTACAGGTTATTGGCTACAAAAAAACTGTGCGGAACTTTTTTTACCAGAAATCTTGCTCCGATTTGTAATGATAGCAATGTTTCTAAAAGAAAATCCGACTGAAAATGTTGATAATACATTCATCAGGAAGTATTTTTACGTAATTCTAATGGTAGCAAGTTTTCTTCCACTTCTGGTACTACTTTTATATTTCCTAATATCAAAATATTAACTATCTGATCATTTTTGATCTTATGATCTCTTATTATTTACACACATAAAAATAAATACAAAAAAAACTCAATTTTTTTCCTAAAAATGATGCTACGCTTTAACAAATCTGAAGCCGAAAAAAAAATAAATATATTTAAAGGAGGAGCTAAAAAATGATCATATTGCATATGTTTATACACCTATGTTAAAAAATACATATTTATTTATATATATTGCATATTGCAAATTCTAAACTTAATTATTTATGAAAAAGGATCTATCTATAAGATTGCAATCAAATTTAGATGTTTTATATAGATATTATGTTTACATTTATTAATATTTATAGTTAATAATTTTCTTTATACATGCATAGTATAAAAATAAATGAAAAAAAAACGTCCTAGGGTAATGGGGACGAGTGCAGTCACGGTTATAGGTAATTAAATGGATATCTGTTAGTAACGTTTAACCATGGATAACAAAAAAAACGATTCTGAGCGGAGTTCATTTGATAGTGATGCTTTGTCAACAATATAATATATGTCATATTATGGTAAAATAATTAAATAGGCATTAAATATTATCTTTAATAATATTTGTTTAATGTATTGATTTGCCTGTTTTTTCCCTTGATTTTTTCTGGTTTTTCACATTTGCCGCAAAAACACTTAAGAAAATTGAAAAATGACCTCTCAAAAGTCCCTTCCAGTCAAATTTCCTTTTAGAAACATTGCTATCATATGTTGGAGCGAAATTGCTGGTAGAAAAATTGTTCACAGGAAAAAAGAAAGCCATAATATTTTTAGCTAATACTTACATTTCTTACATTTTCCCGTTTTCCCAACGTTTTTTATTTTTCGGTTTTTCACATTTGTTGATTATTTTCGATTTCCTTTCAGAATAGGTGCTATACGTAAAAATTGGAGCCAGTTCTCTAGTAGAAAAGGTGTCCTTAAAAGAAAAAATAAATAAATAAATAAACATTGTTGTATAACCATAAGCTCTTCACTCCACTCAGAATCATAAAAAATTGCCTTTGCTTGTATATTTAGGGTTACTTAATACAATATATATTATATTCGAATATTTGTAAACTAATTTGTAAAAAATAACTAAAAGAGTGAATATAAAAAAATCAATTCACTCTTTATTTGCTTGGAATGTAAATAAAATAAGAAATTCCTACATTTTTGTCAAATGAGCCCATAGAAGGTGATCTGGAGGGAGAGCAAAAATATTTTAAGACCCCCAAAATTAATGAGTATTAGAATTGAAGCCCTTGTGGCTTATCTCGTATTGTACAATTTTAGCCCCTCCCTAAAATTCAATCAAATCTCCACCTATGAATGGGCTGATTCTTTGTTGAGGGCCGATACAATTTTAAAATCCGGTGCTGATAGGTACTGCAAAGAAACTGCCTAAAATCTGTATTGATTTACAATATAAATGTATTTAATAAAAACAACAAAAGGGCATAAAATTGCATATAATGATCATATACTCATATGTATACATTACAAAAAAAAAAGGTTTAAATTTTATTTGTTGACGTTTTTCAAAATTGAATTTGTGTCCGTGTATTTTAAAAACTACACAATAAAAAATAACATGTGTAAACATATTCATGCTAAGAAAATTAATAAGTCTGATGACACTGATATTAACACCAAAAATGATTATACTAACCCAATGGATACAGATGAAATTTGCATGAACATATCTGATAAGCAGCAAATTATTACTCACCCTGCAGTTAGCATTGCAAACAAAATCCAGCAATTTCATAGCATGTTTGTGTCACAAGCAGATAAATTAAATGATGAAGGGCTAAATAAAATTAATTTATCCTTAGACTTAAATTTAAAAATACTATATGAACAAAAATCTAACCAGGGGCGGAGTGGGTCCTAAATTCAGCCCTGGAAAACATATTTTGCTGGCTCATTAGCTCATCAGCTGATAGTTTCTTGTCCTAACTTACAGACATAAGCTTGAAAAAATTACTATTTATTACTGGATTCTTAGTAGCATCACAAATTACCAAGTTTAGTATGTGACTAAAACACCAAACATGGATTTGTTCCGGAACTACTCTACTTAGCCATGAAGTGAAACCATTGTAAGTTGTGGATATACGTTAAGTATATACACCTTGCATATTTGCTGCTCTGTTAGTTGCGTTACCAATGCATTTTGATGTATCAATGTTAACTTCATTCATATCACTTTGTAAAAGTTCCATCATACCTTTTCCAATAGATTCTGTACAACATTTAACAGCTATTAATTTTTAATTAATTTTTCTATAAAAAACACAGCAAAGAATATTAGAACAATGATCTATCACAGAAGTCTTGAGTGGTATCAATTAAGACTAAAAACATACCAGCTGTTGAGATTTGCTCAGATATTATTTGTTTTATTATTATTAACGAAATTGTTAAGGTGATATTGTCAATGGATTAATAGCTAAGAAAAGTCACAAAGTTGTCTCTTCCTTTAGATCCTTTTAAATGAATGTTTTCACTTGTGTAAATAATTATATTTAAATGTTCATTTAACACTGCATCATACTTAATCAACAATATAATCATTTCCAAAAAGGTACCGTTGTCTAATGCAGGATCTCTTAGAAAATATGCTGCCTCATTACATTTTCCCCTAACGCTTAAACCTCGTTTTCCTATTATTTTAATAACTTCAATTATTCGTTCTACGATATTCTGATTTTTATTTACTTCTTAACAATGTAAATGTATTTGATTACTGTTTAATAAACTACCAATATCTTTTTGATGACAATTCATGAAATAGACATCACATCATTGTACATGACTTTTGGTATTTTCATGTTCAGTGATTCGTTGGTAAATATGTTTCCAATCGGTCATTCCACAAATAAAAGGGCTAGTTTTTACAAAAAAAACTAAGCAAACCGAACAAAACATTTTCCTGTTAGTTTTGTCATATGTACACGAGGTTTTAACTGTTTTATTTTTATGGATAAATACTTTTCTACTAACAAATGGTAAAATTGAATAGTCACAAGGTTGAACTGGATGTAGATTGAAAAAGTATTTAAGACTGATTGGTTTAGGTTTTAACAAATATGGAATAATGTGGTTTTAGTTTGATCTATTTAAAAATATTTATTTACACATTACTAATATAGTATTTTCATAATTTTTATTATTTATAAAATTGTTTATAAACAAGGTAGGTTTTTGTTAATTTGGTGATTTCATACAAGAAAAAGTTTTTCACATTTATATAAATTGTATGTTGTTTTTCTACCCTAATGTATCAAAAATGTTTTTTCTGTTCAATGATATGTATTATTTATTAATTATTATTACACTAGACATCTAGACAGTTCTTATTTTAAAATAATTAAAATAATAATTTACCTTCAAGTACTGTATATGAATTAGTAGGCAGATCAGTATCAGTTAAACACACATTTGATTTTACTGTATAATTATCTGCAGCTTGATCTATTTTAAATTAAACATAACTGACATGAGCACTGGACAATTTTTATTTTAAAATAATAATTTACCATTAAGTGTTGTGTTTGAAAGCATCTGTAATTTTAAATTATTTTCCTCATATTTGCCATGTGAATCTGCTGTAAGTTTTTTGGTTTGACCTATTTTAAATAAAAATAATAATAATCAACATAATAATTCCTACTGATTTTCGACGTTTTCATATTTTAAAGATAATTTTCCGTAAATTTATACAGTAAAAAATATTAACTAATTACCGGCTGAATTAAATAACGAAATATTTGTACAATTTTGAGCTGACTTGAGAAGTAATTTTTTTTTATTTCGTTCTTTTTCTGCTACTCTGTTTCTTTTTTTCAACGTGTGTGAATTGTTCATTAAGAGAAAATTAAATTGTAGAAATGTAAATTGTTTGTAGAGAAAAAAAAAATAAGTAACAATGAAAAACACTCTCGAAAACAGCGGTTTTAATGATTTAAGAATAATTGTGATAATACTATGTTTTTATATAATCGTTTATCGAGTTAATTGACGTACATAGTTATTAGTTACGACTTAGGAATATACGATTCAATTCTATAATTAGAACTCAAAAACTGACGCGATAGATAAGAACTTGCGGGAATCGAATACTCACCACTGTCCATTCGTGTGTACGAGGTAGTGGAAATACCATTCATTACAATAATCAATGGATATTTAATATTTCATAATATCCAATGTTCTAGTGTTAATTTATTAGTATAATTCAAAAATTACTTTAAGATTATAACAAGATTTGTTTGTAATAAGGGTCAATAAATATTATTTGATATTTATTTTTATTTATTTATTTTTTGATATTATGAACAATATTGAACACTTAATATACTAATATTGTTATTAAATGAAATGTTTAAACAATTTTTTTTTTTTAATTGTCCGGCTCATATAGTAAAATTTTTGGCTGAGGACTGTGGTATTTTATCAATTTGTATCGTTGTGATTATACACAGATAAATGTTATCATAGGTATAAAGATATTTATGAACTTAGAAATATTTTCAATAATAATTAATGTAATTATTTATATTTTATATAATGATTTATTTTATTTACACATCAAAATAAAAAAAACTTGTTATCCAAGTATCTCAAAAGGCAAAAAACATTTAAAAAAAACTAATTTTACAATTATAAACAAGGTTATGATTAAAATGTATTAAACAACATTTTTTTATGTAACTTTTATCTTTTGTTGATGGAAGCTATCGGCTTTCAAAATAGAAAAACTTACAATTTTGCTGTAAGAGTGCATACGAATATTTAAATACACACCACTTACAAGGTTAATAATATTTATCTTGTATGGACGTGAATGCATATCAGTGTCTTCAAAACATTTATTTGATTCTGGAAGTAGATTTGAACACAATGCAAGAGAGTTTTGAACCATTATCATTAATTTTTGATCCATATTTTTTATAAATAATTGTCTTTTGTTAATAACTATACGCTTAAAGTATTGTTCAGTAAGTTTGACGATTTTGAAAACAATTTCAAATGCTATATGAAGACCGTCTCGATTTTTTAAATTTATTAAGTTATTAAATGCTTTTTTATTTTGTTAGCAATATGCATGGTGACCATGTTAAAAACTACTGATACATACTTGCAAAAAAAACACTTTATCACAACCATAACGATTAGCACATCCAATCACACAGCAAGTTAAGTGTCTTTTTACTTATACTACTTACACTTTTGCAAACAAAATCCATGACACAAGGTTAAAATATCATAAAATTTAAAATGCATATGATCATGTGTTTAGTGTTATTTTTAAGGTAGTAAAGTATAATTTATTTTTAGATCATTTTTAAATCATATTTGTTTTTTTTTTTTACATGTTACTATCAAATATTGTTTATTATTAATTAATAATTACAAATGATCTTATTTTTTTATACAATCATTTTAATTAATAATTTACGTGTATAACTTATTTGTCATTATAATATGGTTCTATGTATATAGGCTATAATTTAGTTTATTACCTTTATCTGTGGTTACCACCTTGTACTAAGGTCTATGAGTTACCAATAGGCCATAATCACCAATATTTTATTTTTATCATTTTTCATTATTTTCAATGATCACTTCCCCTCTAACGGATTGGTCAGCAGCTGTATTAAGGAGCAGTTAAATCTAGCGGCTGACCAATCTGCTGAAAAAAAAAGGATTATTCGATTATCTACGAATTATACAGGTAGATTATAAAATAGGTACCCATCTCGCTATCAGCACGCTGATTATATATTTTTTTATAACATTTATGTCTACTTTATTCTTATACTACTTTTCAGTCCGCAGTCTATTATTTGTCACGTATTCGGCTGCTAAAAGTTTAATTTAAAACGTAAAAACATTTTTTTTCACGAATTTTTCAGAAATTAACACGTAATAATAATTGAATAGCAATTTTTATATTCTAATTAAGCCAATAAGACCTACATTATTGAATTTTTTACAAGTATACTTTTAGTTGATAGAGTTTTTATGTGTAGTCTGAATAGCTCTTGTCATTAAAACTATTTTAAATTTTATAATTTAAAAAATGGTTTAATTTGATTTTGATTATAGTTTCCTATTTATAAATTATACCTATTTTAATGTTGTAGTGTATGGTTTTTAGATATATTTGAGTTATGGAAACTCATCGCGATCTTTTTAAATTTATGTAAAGAATTGAAAGAGACAATAGTTGCAAAATACAATATGTTCAAAAAAGCTTAAATATAAGCTGTTTGAATGTAAACAATATTGTAATAAAATGTTGTTCTATTAAACAATCTGTACATTGCGTTAGTAGTAAAATGTTTAAAAAGTAATAGGACCATAGAAGTTTTATGAATATGGGGGGCTGAGGAATTAGCTCCCTACAATTACTAGAGCTCCTCTTAACAACAATTCCTATTTACTTACTTTATTTTAATTACTTATTATCTAATAAGATTTACACATAAAATTAAAAATTAAATTATTTTTATCAAACATTTAGTAATGGCTATACAATTTAGTTAGCTGGCCCATTTTGTTGGGGTACAAAATATCTAAATACGACTTCATGTACACATTCGCCAGTTAATAATGTTTCAATCATAATATACTAGTTTATATTATTAATGTTTTTTCTTTGCCTTGGAATTATGAAAATTACAAACTTAGATTTTATGTTTTGTTAAAATTATAATTTTGTAAAATTTGTAAGAAATTCTATATATTTTAAACAAAAAGTCGAAAAATAACAGTTTTTAACTAGGTACCTATTTTGTAATTCATAAATTCATTATTCAACTATATTGTTATATTGTTTTATACATTTTGTAGACGAATGGAGCTTATACGGTGAAAAGAGATTTCTTTTGCATGACAATAGAAAATCGAAAATCAAACGAGCGTATAATGATTTTTTTTAAATAAGCGTTTTAAATCGATTCGAAACGGAAATCGCAAAAAAAATAATGCCACTTCAAATTATGTACTACCGAACTGCGCTCGAAATCGTCTTTCGTCAAGCAATGATTTATCGTTGCTTACAAATATAAATGAAATAACATTATGTATCCTATCTTCCCAACTTCTCATCTACAACAGTGGCCGCTCCCATCAACAGTATCGGCTCTTTTTTATTGGTTATTTTTTTAATAATAAATTAATAAGATTATAATTAATATATTGTACTGTATTAAAATTATTTATTGTACTTAAAGAAGGACATCGAGAAGACACTTTTTCTATTTGCATATTTGTCTCTTTGAATCAATTAATTTTCATTATAGCTGAAGGCACTGGAGATGTTGACCTTGAATGAGCGTCCCGCTATCTCAACACTAAAAATGCATCAGTCATAGTTAGTCAATTATTGATAAATAATTTAAAAAGCATTTACTTAAAAGTTATGTTAAATTTTACAAAGAATAACATTTCCGTATATTAAAATAGTTAAAACTTATACCTAGTGAAATTTTGAACCCCAGGGTACAGTACTATCCCCAATATTATACATAATATATGTAGTTGCATTAACTAATCTCGATATAAACGGTAATCGAATAAAATCGAACACCTCGGCAAGTCACTGCTATATACGACCTACTTTTCGTTTATTTCCGAGTCTTTTTCAATATGTTCCGGACCGAGAACCCCTTTTTTTTTATCGCACCGTTGGAAATGCACTTCTTTAGCTACTATTGTGTGAAATAAAATGTCCGCGGGATTTTCTTCTACTATTCCTAGGCCATCAAAGTGCTTGGCCGCTTAATTACTAGTTCACTACTACCTTCTATTCTCTTTTTAGCACCTTTTAGTTTACTTCACTTCGTGCGTTTGTACCTATTTATTTCCTGTCTAACGTCTATATAGGAATGTTTACACATTTTGGGAATCAATGAATTTCCTTATCAAATAGTGCTAATGGTATCTTAAATCTCGGTAGTATTGAACGTACTTATCCTCATGATTAAATAGCGAATTATTATTAAAATTGTTCATTATAACTTTTTTACAATTATAGATTTATAGCCATTTGGTAAAAATAAAGAACTATCAATCAATAGTAGAAAAGAGATCGCTAAAATCACACTATAAAATATTTATCCAGTTTGTAATGTCAGAATTGGGCAGAGTAAAGGTGAGTGAATTTGATTGTAAAATTTTATTGTATATCTACATTTTATTTCTATATAAATAAATATGATACATCTCGTTATTTAGAAATAAATATATTAGGTATATTATATTTTATGGTATTAAATGTGTTTATATTTTACAAAGCAATGGAACACTTTTGCTCGTTGTTGGCATCTATTTGACGCTACTTGGCAAAATCCTTTGGAATGTGCTCCAACAATTGAAAAATATTTAAAAGGATTCCACAAGCCGATTTACCATCCATTTGGTTAGTATCAATATTTGATGTACTTAATATACTATAACATGTTTACCTATTCCTAAACATTGACATTAGTAAAATGTATATCAACATTTTAAATGTAATTATAATAAACTGTTTATATTTTAAATTATGTATGTAGGTATGGATTCTGAACAATAGAATAATATTTTGGAACAAATCTAGTTTACGACCCAACCTCATTTTTCAATTTTTTTTTTCAAAATATGCGATTTTGCCTGTTCATAAAAAATCTACAAAAGAAAAGTCTGACCAACTTCGTTTGGAAGTTATAGGGGAAAACTTCATGAATTTCGGGTTTTCTGTTTTCGCGTATTTCTTAGTAAGAATTTAATATTTTCAAATTTTTTTTTTTCCAAAATATGTGATTTTGAATGCCTAATCCATTGGTGTAATCGAAACTTTCCTATCATACTCTTTTGAAGGTATTGCACAAAAGACTATTGTTGTTTCTTTAGCATACTATTTATTTTTAAATAATAATTATATTAATTGTGATAATACTTAAAATTTATATTTATAATTATTAAACTAGTAGTCATTATTTCAGTAATCAAAAAAAATCATAAATAATTTTATAACTATTTCATTTCTTTTTATTTAATAGTTGATTGTGGTGATCATGTTGTGGTTATGAACAGTAAACAAATTGCATTTCCCGGTGAGGAATGGCGTCGTCGTGTTTATTTCCATCATACTGGATATTCACGTGGAGCATCTTGGACTCCAGCTTGGATATTGCATGACAGAGATCCAACTATGGTATGATATTACAATAATACAATTGTCTTATAGTTTTATTTTCATTATCTTTTGCCTATTATTGCAAAGGCTATGGATATTGAACAATTTCTTGGAGTCTCCCAAATGTCCTCTGGGACAGGATATAAAATATTTACAGCTATAAATACTTTGATACTTTGCAAAGGCGGATATTACTAGAAAAAATCAAAGCTTTCCAACTATTTTTTTAGAGTTTTATATTCTGTATAATAATTATAAAAGGTATTTCATCATATATGCAAACGGACGTTTTATACAGGGTGTAACTGGACTATTTGAAATGTTTACATCAAATAGTCTTATTACACCCTGTATATTTAATTACCGATAACAATCAATCTCAATAAGGAAACACAATGTCTTGATACTTATTCCTTTTTCTTAAAAAAATAGTAGACTTAAGAACATTTTTGTGAAATTCTCTTTTTTAAACAATGTTTAAATATCATTAAGGTTTTTGCATTTTTACACTAAATGCAATAGTTTCTGAATTAAATAAAATATTAAAAAAACTACCTTATTTTGCCATATGTCAACTCAAATGCAGCAGCAAAAGGGTTTGAATGAGACCTTTCAAATTTTATTCAAATTACTTACTCATGTAATTTAACAAATTAAGGAAGTGTTAATTATGTTAATAAAATAAGAACCACCCTAATATATAGTTTGTTTTATTCAAATTGTAACATAAAATATTTCAATTTGATGAAATTATTGAAATAGGAGATTTTAAGATATATTTAATGTTACCAAAATTCACATTTTAAAATTTTAACCCGTGCAAAAATAAATATGTAATAAATCATACATTTTCTTAAATAGAAACACCTATTTTTAACATCAACTTCAAAACATTTTTTTTGTTTAAGTAATTATGATCAATACAATTTATTTCTGTTCAAAATGAGTATTTTGGTACTTGAACATTAACTCAATCTAATAAACTTTAATTTTTCATAAAATAAATACTAACACATTCACTACTCAGTAAATATTTGAAACACTGAACATATTGAATGTATATTATAGTATATCACACATGTACATTATTTATAACAAAATTAGGTACATTAATATATTAATTATCTACACATATTCAGAAAGTGATATCTAACATATTTACATCTATTTTACATTATGTACTCATAAAGAAAAATTATTATCCATTTTGTAAAGACTACACAGTCAGTCAATAGTACTAAGTCAGGAGTGAAGTTTAGTTTAGTTTACTAGTGTTTTCTTTATTTGGAAAGAATATTGTTTAATCAACTAAAAATAAATAATATTGTATAAATATAATTTAATTGCTTCAGTATGTACATTTGTATATAATTATTGAAATTTATAATAATTTCAAATACTATTAATACTACATATTTTTATTCTTGTTTTTTATATGTTATCTTAGATATTTAAAAAAGCTGTGTATCATCATATGAAAGGAAACTTATTCAGAAGAGTAGTTATGGAACGTTTACACATTTTCTCAGACTCAAATGTACCAGAAGAGATTATGGAGAATATTACCAACCAAATTCGACCATTACGGCCTAGACCTAAACCCTTGGAATCATATAGTAAAAAAGAAATTGAAGAGTTTCCTAAAATTATAGATTACCCTAATGATTATGTTTTATCAAAAAACTGAAAAATATTCATGAATATATTTTGAATTAGATTGTTATTAGTGAATAATATAAAGATTTGGTTTATAAATAATGTTTTTTGTACTGAAATGTATTTTCCATTAAAAAAGCTAATATTTTCGAACAGATAACCAAAAAATAATCTGAGTACTTTCAACTGAATAATTCAATTTGTAAACCCGATTAAATTACAAGTTGCTCAAAGAAACTTTGATTTAAACATTTTTATTTTTATTATTTTAAAATATTTACTTTTATTGGATCGTGATTTGTTCTAGGTTTTTGGTATTTACAAAATAAATAATGTATCTAACAATTTTTACATTAAAGAATTATGAGAAATGTAAGAAATTTTATAGAAAATTTTAATTCAGTTGAATTTATTTAATATGAAATAAAATTATGGTAAAGCCACAAATTAGATAATATTAATTCAAAATTGTATACATTAACAGAAAATGTAATTTATTTGTAACTGGTAAATTTTCTGTATGTGTATTTTAATAGTGAAAAAAGTTTCTCAGGGATTGGATGATGTGACAGAACACTCTGTTATTGTTAAATCAGATGTCCGCTAAATTCTGACTTCACCATTGTTCTTAAATCGGCTTTATACACATGTTCAAAACAAAAAATTGAAAAATTAGATTGGTTCCACATAATTTTTTACTCAAAACATTTGATATTCAAATTCCTTAATAAAAAAAAAAACTACATTAAAGCTCAATATTTTGCTTCCTTCTCTAATTGGCTTATACGCATGGAGTCAGTTGATCGCACCCATTCATGAGCGCTTTGTCCACTACTGATTCCTATGTCTTGCATAAGGGTAGTAAAACAAAAAATCCTTCATTAAAGACACAGGCTACCATTTCAACAATGATAGAGGTTCCACTCAAGTGCTTTAGTGAGATTTTCCAAACGAGTTGGTTCAAACTCTCATTGTTCTGTGTGAATCCTCCGATTTATCGCTCCAGAAGGGCATCTTTGCTCAAATCTTGATAGATAGGCTTGATGGCACCTAGAACATTCTTAGGAAGAGCACTGTATGTGTGTTTAAACGAATCCAATGTATTATCAACTGCAGCTTTTTGCCATTCGCACCAGGAGTCTGCGCCACTCAGGCATTCTTATGCTGTGGATTCTTGTCAGTTGAACTGTAGCGAAAGAACATTGCCCAGATAGCATTCTTTATACTTTTTACGGAATCAGAGTGACGTCTAATAGCCAAACCGTAGTATACCGTCAGTTTATCTATCAATTTAGCCAAAAGTTTCCCTTTACCAGACAAACTTTCTTTTGATCTTTTTTCCAGCCTTAGTTATAGTATCTATAATAGTCTTCTTGACTATTTCATGTAGATGAGTGTCGATTCTTTTTTCACTAATGGAAAATCATCACCATAAAGTTTAGAATTCACCAACCTGGAGTAAACTTTAGAGTCACCGATATAGTTGCGATATTGCACACCATTCCCTACCGATCGTTGAAACATGGTTTTTATCACTTTAACCCCCATATTTCCAGTATGATTTGCCTGAATCTCCACCATCCAGATGAGCTTCATGCCATTCTTTGTATTTTGCATTATAATTTATTTTCCTAAGTTTTACATTTGTGACAATATGAACTTTTGACAATAGTGTCATGAACTTTACCTGTGAAGTAACCAATTAACAAGGTGACGCCAACTAAAGATGAGAAGCCTCTTTTTTTCCATGTTCCATCGCTTGATACAGTGAGTTCATCGGCATCTTCAGTTTTTTTCTCTTCGGCTGTTGCTGCTTTTTCTTCTTTTGTAGCAGATAAAAATCGATTCGCTACTTCTCTTACAGTCGAGCATTTTTTTCATGTAATCATTGTACGTCGATCTTGATACAAAGTTACTAGCCAAATCCATCAAGCAGCAAAACTTTTCACAGCCAGCTAATACAAGGCCTAACATCCTCATCGCAAAAATAAACCGATAATTAACTTTGTAAACATGAGAGTTTATTATTACACTAGACGGAACATTTGTAATTTGTTTACAGCATTCGCACGACACTTTGATGTAAAATCCAAGGCTTTCTTAGTCGAACGGAAATTTACTTTTCCACCACATTTTACACACTTCACTAGCGTAGCAATTGTTGAAGACTATTAAAAAATCTAACAACCTATAGCATTATTCAAGATCCTCCATAACTTGATCTTCAACGGTCACTTTTATTTTTTTAGCTGACGCGCTACTTGTCGAAACGTTTTTGCGGAGGTACAATTTTTCTACCTCGATATAATCACAAACCAGTCGATTTTCTATCAAATATTTGAACTTTTTTAGGCATTTTAGCAATAATTTAACACAATACTTGACAAAAACGGAGCTAAATGATGCGAAAATTGGAGCTTGCGTGTACGTCTGCTAGATAGAATGTTTACTGCTAAACTAAACTGCTGCCAGGTAACAATAGTGCGTTCGGGCAGAAATCCGACAGATATAATAATACTCATAACGTCATCAATTTGGCTCCTATCGACTTTGACACAATATTCTTGAGATATTATGCATTTAGTTAAAAAATTTAAAAAACAGTTTAAGACCCAACCCCCCCCCCCCCTTAATATCCCCCAGTAAATAAATTAATGAAGATGAATACAATAACCATTATGGAATATTAAATAACACTATATTTATGAATAAAATAGAAATGAACGCCATAGGTGACTCAATCCTTACAAATACTAGTTTTAAAAATATTATACCCATGTATCAAACTGAATAATATATCTAATCAATAACTTACATACTGTTAATAATTATTTTTATTATGTATACACATATTAGTCATATTACCATTATTTACAGATATTTTAATATATAACATTTTTAATTGTATGAACATTCTCGAACCCCCAAACCATGTTTTAAATATAGATTATTCAAGATAGATACACAGAAATTAATTAGGCCTGAATTAAATTAAATGTTTTTAATGCATATATTCTTAAAATCATTGATTTAAAAACAAATAACTTAAATTGAGATTTACACTACAATGTTTAAATATATTATAATACAAATACCTCGTATAAATTATGATTTGCAAAAATGTAATAGATCATTTTCTTAAAAAAAAACTAACAGAAATAAGCGTAATATATTATATAATAATGGGTATGATAAATATTATCCCCTATAAATAAATTCAACCTAGCACAGTTCAAATGACATAAAAAGTATACTTATAATAATTATACTTAATACATTTTTTGAGTACCAGGCAACTAAATATGAACCAAATTTATTTTTAATTAAGATTAAATATAAGATATAAAGATGTGTATATAATAATAATGATAATAATAATATAATATAATATTGATTATATGTATAATTGATTTAATATTCGAGTTGTATAATCGGAGGGTTAGCAATTTTGTGGTACCAACCAAATACATATTTTAAAATTAAAGTAATAAGTATTATTTGATTAAAACACAACTAATAATAATTTTTATCAGAAAAAAAATACAATGGTAATATTAAACTTAAATAATTATTACTATTACATTCTAAGATGTTATATATTTGAACGTAATATTAAAATTACAATTTTTTTTTATTGCTACATTTAATTTCTATTTAGATAAGTATTTAAGAATAATGATAGGAAAATATTTATATTCCCTTAAAATTTGATCATAATAACATAATATAATATGAATTGTTATCTTAACTACTAACATTAAGATTTATGATATTCTTAAGTATCAGGTACAATTTTTAGTGTTTATCATAGCTCAAACCTCAAAGGCGAAGTTTATTTTCTTTTAAAATATTTAACAATATACTTCAAGTATATTATAATATAATACCAATTATAAAAATAAAATAAGATTACAAATAGAAATCAAGGTAAAATGTTTTACAGAATGGTTTAAGTTTTTAATAGTTATTAATAAAATAATCTAAAATATCAATCAAGTTGGTACTTTTAGCTTACGAAAATTATGAGTAAAAACTATTAAGATATATTAAAAAGTAATGATTGGTACCACATTATAAGTTTTCTTAGGGACCACACCAAATATTACTCAACATCAACAATAATATACGGGAATTAACCAACCAGAAAATAAAATATAATTACTAGCTAATCACAAATAAAACTATTTAAGCTCGAGAATCGAAGAAAAAAAAAATCAGATAAGTAGAGATTAAGTTGGCAGGAAAATTGGAATACAAACATTACTAAATATGACTATAATACACACTTAACAATAATATTATGAAATATTTAATATACAATAATTATATATTTTAAAAGAGGAATGCATTTTTCATTGCTGCTGTTGCTATTCGAAAAAAAACTTTCGATAAGTCTGTTATAGACTAGAATTTTCCCATACTAAGATACTGTAAGCGTCCAGGTGATGTCCAATTTTGATTAGAAATAAAATGAAAAAAATAGGTAACAAAATAAACACTAGCAACAACAAAATTAAACTTTGGAAAATGTTGTCTAAAAATAGTTGGAAAATCAAAATGTAAAAAAAAAAAAAGATGAATACTTAAAAATAATTGTCAAGAGGGAAAACATAAAAATAATTTTGGTTAGAGTTAATTGAGGCAATGATCGGCAAGGTAGGTTGTAGTACTATCTACGCCTAATATTAATTGATTTGTAACACGGTAATTTTTTTCTCCTAATTTAGTATTAAGCAAAGTACATAACTTTTTTTGTATCTGCATGTACTGTTATAGCACGAGCCATTGCACCAGGTGTTCGATCTTCACTACAGCCAGATTGATGTGAACCTTCCCCACTGAAACATAAATAAAATCATATCACATAACTATTACTATTCATAACAATTTTAATCATAATAAACTGTTTAAATAAATAAAATTATTTAATGAAAGCAATAAGACAGAACAACCTTTCAAAGTCAACAGTGTAGTGATTGAACATGGGGGAGGGATCAGGGGGGGACAATGTTTAATGAAAAAGCCGTTTTTCCCCATATTAACACAGATGATTTTCAGGATCAAAATAAAGATAACAAAAAGTTGTTAACACCAAAATAATGTGAGAGATATGTCTATTGATAATGGAAGAACACTAGTTTCAGATTATGAAATAAACACAGAACTGCTACTTTTCATATAAACCTTTTACCCTGGGCAACCGAGGTTAAACATTATATATTTTAAATAATATTGAAGAAAGTTATCTTAAACACAATCATTAAAAAGATAATGAAAATATATTGGACAGGCAACTTAAGTTAAAACTAAATAATCAAAAACAACTGTGTGTATGTAATGACATTACAAAAATAATTAGCACTAGTCTGTATAAAATAGGAAAGAAATTGATGTAGGTTTGTAATTTTGTTTTAGTATTAAAATAACAGTTTATTGGAACCAATGTATATACTACTTGTAGATCACTAGGGAACAATTCATATGTACAACTATATAAATAGACTAACCCAGAACCAATTTGATAATATAAAATCAGAAAATCAATACATAATAATCAAGTAATTAAAGGTTTATTACAATTTTTTATCTTTTAGTAATTCAAATTAAGACATCAAATAAACACAATAATAGACATTATTTTACTTATTATTTTGTACATAGATTAATATTTAAAAAATAAAATCCCAAAGAATACTTAAAGCAAAAAAAAAAAAAAAAGACGTCCTAGGATAATGGTAATTTAATGTATAAGCAATGATAAACTATTTTTTAAACACAGATTTGAATAGAGAACAGTTTTATAGAAATTTTGATATGCATGATCCTATTATCAGATTTACCATTCATGAGTTATAACAGTTTGAAGTTGTGACTAGAAGAGTAGGGAAGGGTAATAAAATGGTTATAAAATTAAGTTTAAACAATTCCATAATGATTAGAAAAAAACAGAAATCAAATTCACTTAAAGTCCTCTGAGATAATTGGTAGTTCATAATATAAGACATCCTAGGATAATAGGGTCGGGTTCAGCCACTGTTATAAGTAATTTAATNACAATATGTATGTGATATTATAGTTGAATAATTTAATAGGTTTTATATATTTTCTTTAATAATATTTGTTTAATGTTGTACAAATTTTCATAGTTTTTCTGTTTTTACCATATTTTATCCCGGTTTTTCAAATTTAATGAGAAAACTCTTGAAAAAATCAAAAAATGACCTCCCTAAAGTGCCTCCCACCAACACCAATTTATTTTCAGAAAAGGTGCTACACTTAAAAATCTGACCATGTCTTCTGGTAGAAGTTGCGCAGAAATACAAAATAAACATCTTTGTAAAACCATAAACTTTTTCGCTCCACTCAGAATCTAAAAGTGCAAAGCTTTTAAAACAAGAAAAAAACTTCATAATATGTACAAATAAAAGATGACCCACAAAAAATTCCTTTGAAACTTCCCAAGCTTTCAAACATCTCAATTCTCCTCCTATTTCCTAATACTTTTCATACTCTAATACATGTTTTGCCATAAAAACTTTCTCCTTATACAAAACTTAAATGTGTAATATCTGATGAGATGACAGTAATTAAAATTTCAACAACAATATTTTAAGTTAAAATTAAAACATTTACTATTTATAGAATTTTTGATATAGGTTGCTATTTGAAAATCAAATGATTAGGGGTTTAACTTCAAAAATAAGGATGATACAATATTTTAGAATATACGATCTCAAAAAATGACTATATAAACCATTTTTGAAAAAAAAAAAAAATGTATTTCAAGGAAAATATGACTGCAACATCAAATTCTGGAAACCCTGTAAATGAAATAAAACAATTATATAAATTATGCAATTTTACCTGTCATGTTCTTTTTCAACTAAATGATATCTAGCTCTAAATGCTACTAAATGAGCATAATAAGCAGGCGCAGGTATAGATACTGAACGCGTACACCTAACATATGTGTGACATAATTGGTATGTTAAACATTGCAATTCATCAGACTCAAAATGATTGTCATCCCATAGAACATGATAATGACTTGGCCTACTGGTTCCCTGTTGACAATAAGAACTATTATGTATAAATATTTATTAATTTATCAACAATTATTACTTGAATTCCTTGATGACTGCATAAGTAAAAGTCAAACTCTGTGGGATGTGTTATTCCAACATCTACTGTTGTACCAGCTGGAATGTTTCCAGATTTGCCAGATTGCTCTTTTTTATCAGCACAGAACAATCTAGTCAAAACAATTTATATAAAAGTTAAAACTATATAAACTTTGAAATACTATCAAACCTTGTGTGATGACGTTTTTGAACAATAATAAATGTGATTCCTGGTTTATAATCACCTTCCAATTTTATACATGCCTCACGGATAGCTGTAAGTTCATGTTGTAGAACCTAAAAAGTTTTAAAAAATACTTAGGTACAACCAAATTACACGCACGGTTTTTCACGAGACACAATAAAAAACATAGTTATTATGTTTTCAATTTGTATGTTAAAAATTGTTATTGGATTTCACATGCAAGTAAATCAATGTTAGAAACTGTTTTATCATCTAGATATTAAAAAATAGCATCATTCAAACATAGTGAAAATAAGACTAACACAGTACATTTAAATATCGGGAGTTGACAACAGAATATTAAACAAATTAGTCAGTTTTAATATAATTCCTATTTAAACAATAGATAATAATTGTGTAACACAAAAATATATCAAATAAAATTTTTAAAAAAAATATTAAAAATTGTACAAATGAGAAAATTATTGTATGTTATATTTTATCAGTAGTTGGAGCATATCAAATGACAAGGATTGTATATTTCACATGTAAATTTTTGTTCATTATTTGGTTTTTTAAATTAAATTTGAAAACCACATGGAAAATCAAAAATTACCCCTACTATTTGGTGTCTTTCAAATAGATTCAAAATACTACAAAAAAACGCATCTTATAAAAAGGTAGTTTACACAAAAATAAATAAAAAATACACATTATAATAAAACCAATACATTCCTTACTACAATCAGAATAAAAAAGTTACAGACATACTTTACACGATGGGTGGGCCACTGTTGTAGGTGAAAAGTTGGTAAAGTAGAAAGTAGATTTAATGTATACATGTACGCATCAATTAATCATTGGCTAATGAAAAACGATTCTAATTGAATTTCAGTTAATAGTGTTGCTTTTTCAACAATATAAATGTTATGTGTTAAAATAATTACATGTGTATTATATATTGCACCTATTTTTCAATTTATTATAAAAACAGCTGGGAAAATCAAAAAATGACTTCCTTAAAGAGCATTACTTCAATCAATTTCTTTTCAAAAAAAGTGCAACACTTGAAAATTGGAGCAAAATGTATAGTAGAAAAGTTGTTCGCAGATAAAATAAAAAAATGAATAAATAAACATTGTAAAGCCAACACATTCCTCACTCCACTCAGAATCTAAAAATTAAGTTTATAAATCAAAATTACATCTTAAAGTTCAACAAAACAGTCACTGGGTATACATTAGCATTAAATACTACAAGTAAATGTGCACTGCAGTAAATAATGGAAGAACTGTGTAATTATTGATGCACGTTTATAGATTCATTTATATATTATGTTAACATTATAACAGAGTGGACATTTTAATACTGTGTTATTATTGGAATGAAAAATATAACATGTGATGACATGCACATAAAATGTTATAAGACAACTATTGTTTTAGTATGAGTAATATTTAATTGTATATACCACAGCTATAAATAGCCATACAATATAAAGAATATTAAAACAACAAAATAGTAAATAAAATTGAACTCATCTCATACGAAAACGATTATTTTTTGATCTTAAATAACACTTCCAATTGATTAAATATATAGCAAAATCATTAAAACAAATAAATATGTAAAAAGTATGTCCCCTGAAGTATACCTGGAAGTGTTATAAATTAATATAAGGATGTTAAATAAAAACATACATGAGGGAATTGTCCTTCAGATACTCCATCACGATATAATATTATCCTGTGAGGCTTATAACCTCCAGTGCTCTTGTAGAACATAATTAGGAGCTCTCTGAAATTAAAAATACAAAAACAAAATGAAAAAATGATCATACTTAAAATTTGAATATACATCATACCTGACCATCGAACTGAGTTCTTGAATAATTTCTTGTCTATGCTGTTGAACACGCACAGTTGCTGCATAACGACTAGGATGTGCATCCATAGATCCAACTACTGCTGCAATAGATGGTTTTTTATTGTCACCCGCAGGTGGATGAGTAACATCTGCTCCCAAAAATATTACTGGTTCGTTAAATACCTTATTAAATAAATAAAAAAATGAAAATGTTATATTAAAGATTTTTATTCTTTAACTATTTCCATACTTTAGGTCTGATACTTGGTACAAGAATGCTATTAATTCCGCCCAATTTTACATTGATTTTTAAGCATAAATTGGATAATGTTTGAGGTGACGTTTTATTAACATTTTTAGCTTGAACACATTGTGTAGCCATTCCCAGAACAGTATCTCCCACTCTTTTGACTTCAGCTGATTAAAAATTTTACAAACATAAATAAATATAGCAAGATCAGGTGTTATTAATAAAAATTTGATAAATAAATTTTATATTACCATACACTGGAGTTTTTCCTGGTAAAACAACAACTACTAGTTGTAACCCAGTAAATGTAGACTTTAAGTAACGGAACATTGGTTCAACTTGATCAGGTCCTGTGGCATATTTACCTAAGATTTAAAAATTAATTAGGTTAAGAAAAAATTATCAATATTTTTATTTTACTTACAAAAACAGGGTTGACCAACTATTGGCATACCAGCATCACTGCTTATTTTTTGAAGTTGTGTTGTAAAATTCCTATTACATAAATATAAATATATTAAACAAGATAAAACCAAATTAATAACTCAATTACTAAATTTTCTAATGTAATGAAGATACATAATTGTATACAAGAACAGATTCTTTTATCAGTAACCAAAGATTTTCTCGGAGAACTCTAATTTGATTTTTCAAAACATTAGGAAATCATTTAAACTTTGTATTTTTTATAGTACTTTAAAACTCCTATTTATTATATCTTAAAATAGAAAAACAATATTTTTCTAAATAAATACCCTATACTGTTATACAAAATATCTGATAAATAATCCTAAAAAATAGACATTTAAAATTATTATGAAATCTGTAGATAAGTGTACATAATATATCCAATTAACAAAATATACTCTTAGAAACAATAACTTAAAATTAAAATAAAATTTCTTGTCCAACCCATATTACTGTAGGCTAGTATGTACCAATTTCTAATTATATGAAAAATCCTGCTTGATGTTTTTTACAAATTCTTAACATTTACAATTTAAGTATTAATAATTCTTAATAAAAATTAAGGGGTGCATGCACATGACCTATTTTTTGCTCAAACCACAGTTCTCTTCTACCCTGTAGACGTCCAATTTTAATATACTTTTCTTACGGGTGCACAAAATTTAATACAACAAACACTACAAAAGAATAAGTTAAATGGTTTGGATATATAATTTTCAAAATCCAAATCCAATGGACCCTATTAAAAGCTTTTCATCTTTTTAAAAAAAGTAAATGACCAACATCTGAACAACTTACGATCTATGAAGTTAAAATTGTATAAAGCAAGTTCTTGGACAAAAACACATCAAACAAATTTCTTTAATATTTATAATAGCACTATACTTAAAATCTATGTATTCAATTGTAATGACTTTACAAATAAGATATATATATATTATAGAATATAGATAATTAATATTAAGGTAATGAATATAAATTAAATGCTTTAAAATAAAAAAAAAATATTAACTAGTAAATTTTATATATATTTGAAAAAAAATTTAATATAGGTTTACACATTTACTTATTTATAATTAGTGCTTAAGAAATTATAATGTGAATAATAATATATTTTTAACTATTATTATTACCTATTAACGTACATATACTCTTAATGATTATTAAATAGTAAATTAGAAAATATTAAGTCTTTGTTTTTTCAAATTTTTTTCCTTTTACTCTAGAGATTTTTTTTAACTAATACTGTATTTTCTTCCTCTGAGCTAAGTAAGTTATTTCCTTACAAGATTTTTTTTTTTTATAGAAACCAAATTTGAATTTAGTGAGAATCTGGTTAATATATAATTTTTAAATATATGATATTTGAATTACAATTATTTCACAACATTTTTCTCAGAAGTACCTTTTTTTTTAATTTCTACAAATTTAGTTTAACTAGCACCTATTTGAGTCTTGATTTATTGATTGCCTTTTGCGATATAATAACACTGGTGAATACATCAAATCTAAAATTAGAACATGACAATTGATATTATAAAACATACGTTATCAGACTGTTTTAAATACAAAAGCAATTAGTGAGGTTTCTGTGACTCATAAAATCCATCACAGCCGAAAAATAGAATGATGAAAATTTCTGTGTAATCATTTACTACAACTTTCATTGTGGATTAACTCAACAACAATGTTTCGACTATTGGTGATAAAGCGGCATGCTGGGCCAACAGATTATCTGAATTTAATCGTAATCATCATTTGCTAAAGAATGAATTTCACGAGTCATCCAAAATCAGAAGATTTGCCAGAAAACATCGATACTGTACGCGATATAGCACTCAACTGTCATGCGACTTATTATTGAGGAATTTTTAGACATAAGTTTCATTTGTGTACATTCAATATTGCATGGATATTTAGTCATAGAAAAGATTTGTTTGTGATGAATCCCACACAATTTGACATTCACTCAAAAAAAGGTTTGTGGAAATTGGTGCACAGAAATTCTGAAAAAATACACCTGAAGAAGTAGCAGATGTATTCAAAATGTATGATTTGAAGGTATCTCAATTGAAGAGAAAAAAAAAGTTTAAAAATTGGTTCGAAATTGGATTCAATTTGTTACTAATCCTTATGGGCAATATTTTGAAAAACAATAAAACTATTTTTAATGGTTAATGTATTTTAAATTTTTTTTTATTGCAAAACTTAAAAGGTAACCTAAGTATAATAAAAATTTAAAATTTAAATTAAAAATGAAGTAGTTTATTTCTATACTATTAAAAAATCTTGTTATCATGTCAATATTCAAACTAAAATCATTTAAATATAAATTTAATTTTTAGTGTGTAACATTTGTTGTGAAATAAAATAAATATTGCATATTTACACATATACAGAGAAACTTTTTTAGATTTTAAGAGGAGCGAAAAAGTTTATGGTTTTACAAAGATGTTTATTTTGTATTTCTGCGCAACTTTTCTACCAGAAGACATGGTCAGACTTTTAAGTGTAGCACCTTTTCTGAAAATAAATTGGTGTTGGTGGGAGGCACTTTAGGGAGGTCATTTTTTGATTTTTTCAAGAGTTTTCTCATTAAATTTGAAAAACCGGGATAAAATATGGTAAAAACAGAAAAACTATGAAAATTTGTACAACATTAAACAAATATTATTAAAGAAAATATATAAAACCTATTAAATTATTCAACTATAATATCACATACATATTGTGGACAGTGCATTACTATCAACTGAACTCCTCTCAGAATCGTATTTTTCATAAACAATGGTTTATTGTTGCTTACAGGTATACATTAAATTACTTATAACAGTGGCTGAACCCGACCCTATTATCCTAGGATGTCTTATATTATGAACTACCAATTATCTCAGAGGACTTTAAGTGAATTTGATTTCTGTTTTTTTCTAATCATTATGGAATTGTTTAAACTTAATTTTATAACCATTTTATTACCCTTCCCTACTCTTCTAGTCACAACTTCAAACTGTTATAACTCATGAATGGTAAATCTGATAATAGGATCATGCATATCAAAATTTCTATAAAACTGTTCTCTATTCAAATCTGTGTTCAAAAGGGGGGTGGTTTTATTTGAAAATCAAAAGTATGTAAAAATTAAAAATGGTATTATAATAAAGCTTAAAAAATTTCATAATGATAAGAAAAAATAGAAATCAATCAAATTCACTTAAAATTCTCAGAGATAATTGTTGGTTCATGATAAAAAAATCACCAATATACAAATTGATTTAAAAATAAATACAATACCATCTAAACCCGACCATTAAAAATGATGAATCCCTCAATGGAATCTAAAGAAAAACCAAAATAAAAGAATATTAATAGCTGTAGATTTTAATAATATTCTCTGTACTTAATTTTATTGTCTAAAAAGTGGTTATCTTTCCAAGACGATTAAGAAGAAATTCACAAAATATCGTTGTTATACACGACTTTCAATGATTCTAACATTAGGATTTATTTGTTATGACAAGTGCGAAATTGAATTAATAAACTAACCATCAAAATATTAAACACTAATGATTTTTGTTTGATGATGATGTAGGTGTTACAGCACGCCTTTCATAGTCATGCCGTCGCTTTGAACTCTTAAAATTAAATTTATAATGATCAATCAAGCTTGGCGTAATTCACTTATTTTGACTATAAATGACCTACATATTATTTATTGCATACCTATTCTTATTGAACGTGATAGTATAACAGCTGAGATATTATTGTGTGGGCAAAAAAAAAAAAAAGACCTTTGGGGACACATTGTTTTATCAGTTCGAGGAAATGTTCAGTACATTTTACAAAAACTCCGTACACTAGAGTACAATGCAATACATTAGTTTTTAACAAATTTAAATATTCATAATTTATATATTGATGATTAGAAGAGAGGCATAAGCGTCACTTTTTCTAAATTGACATTTTTGAATATTATTGTAAACCACTATATTCTACATCGGTATCACTTATATCTTATTAACAATGTTTTAACATGTGGTAATAAACATAAACGGCATTTAGTGATACGTAATAGGATGTAAGTGTCATTGTTGGCGGTTATATTTAATAAAACAGATTATCTAAATATTCAAAATAAAGGTTTCTCTTTTAAATTTAGCAATAATTTAATTAAAATATATAATATATTCCTCCAATTATAAATCTAAATTAAAAACCATGATATGTATAATTCTATATCTTGAAACATTTTTTAAAATATTATTTTCTGTTTAATTGATTGACATTACACCAAATATTATCATAATCACTATTACATTTTACTCTAAATGTTTAGACATACAACTAATTCAAGGTAATTAGCATTGTTCCTGGAGGTAGAATTCCCATTAAGATTGAATATATTATTATTAGATTATTCACTTAAAAGATTTGCTTTCATTTTTATTCTTAAGAATTCTAAATTTATTTTAGAAATTGCCAATTTCTGTTACCTTAGAAATTTTTGTCAGATTTTCACTCCATTTGAAGAACTTTTGATAATGATATAAATAACGAATTCAAATTAATTTTGTCTTAGATCCATAATATGACAACATTTAAATATTTCAGCCAAATTCAAATCATTTATCAATATATTTTGTTTTTATGTTTAAACATAATTTGTTCTCTTTATCTTTGGAGGTCCAAAGTCACAATAGTTTAGTTGAATAAATTAGATCAGAACTATTAAGAAAACTACCACTCAAACACTTTTTTTTTTTTATATCTCAGTAGTTATGCCGTATTTGTCCAATTTATTTCTTAATATTTTTAAACTACATTTTTATCTAAACAGCAATAGCTTTTCAAAGTTTTAACATAATATAATTATAATTAATATTAATATCCTGATTATAATAAACATAAAATACAAATTGGAACTAATAAAAAAATTCTATAGATCTTAACCACATTTTATAACTGCATAAGGTTTAAGTACGAATACGGGTTGGTGTTTTACATATATTTATTACTAGCTTATTAAGAGGATACAACGCCTGTATCATAATAGGTGTTTTTGTCTTACACACCTGAATCACAAAAAATTAGTTTTCATACTTCCAATATTGTGAGTCTTGGGTGAACATCACACTATTATATATACTATCATATGAATTATATATGTATGTGTATATATTTATGTAAATGTTCCACTTCTAAAGTAATAAAACTAACACCTCAACATAGGTGTTTGTCAATAATTGTAATGTTAAGTTAGTTATATAAAATTAAACAATTAGATAGTTTAAATACTTACAATATTATATAAAATATAAACACTGAAAAATAGCAATGTCATTACTAAAATTACCTTTTTTCTGTTAATGTTGTAATAGAAAAGTATAGTGCAATTTTAACCCAGGACTCGTTATATTGGAAATACACATTTTATCTTTGCCTTTAGTTACTCTTAATTATCGTCTCCTTCATAACTCAGCCAATTCTTTTATCGACTCGCCCTAATATCTTCCCGGATAACTTCAAATCACAATTGCTTTGGTCCATTTTTTTCACAGCATCTACACTTCTTGTATTTTTTTATTCTAGGTATACCATTTTATAACATTTTAATCTATAATTTCTTAAATTTTCAAGTAAATACAATACTATTAGACTACATTCATTTTGAATCCTATTCAATCTGATCAAATGACATATTGACTTAAGCTATTTAAATTTCTACCACATTCATTTTAATTAATTCTCTTTTACTATTTTAGAATATTTAATTCCATACACCATCGCTAAACTCTTAACTGTTTTATAAAACCCAATTTTGTTAAGAGTTTGCAAGATTAATTACATAAGGTTAGTATAAATAAAATTGGGTCTCCTTTTAATATAGATGTACAATATGTTAAACGATGTTTTATACCTTAATGCATCTTCACGGACAGTTCTCTGTGGTGCAAAACAAGCTATTGCCCAGTTACGAATTTCAACACCTGTAAAAAACTGTTTGCCCCTCATATCCCAAACTCCTTGATTTGGTAATGCTTGTTGTTTAGTTTGTTGAACATTTAACCCAACCTATTAAACAATATAATTTTTTATATACTTATAATTATTTCTTATAAAACAAATTGTATATACCTGATTAGGAAGTGTCCGTCCTCCATATTGTAACTTTGGAGGTGGCAGAACACGACCACGTACTTCCATCATACTATTTGATATAGTAAGACCAAATTCTTGAACATATGAATCATTATTGAAATCGGCTCGGCGAACTAAAGAGTTGATTTCTCGCTCTCGATCTGGAGCACTTCGCGCAGTGGCTTTAATCATTGTCGATGTTTGCATATCAGTTAATTTTTTAATACACCTTTGACCCGCAACTATATTACAAACCTAATAAGAAAATATTCATAATTATTTTCTATTCCTTTCACATTCACTATGTTAGTCAGTTTATTATTTGCATTATTTTCATTTTTATTAATCATTAATTGATGGACAATAATATTTAATAATTTTCAGTGTATAGTAAAAATGTTGTTAATGACACCATTTGGTAGTCAAAATTTTTTTCATATCAGCATTACGCCAGCCAGTGCAAAGAAAATAAGGAAAATAGCGTACATGACAATATATTTATTTAAATAAATAAACAAACCTCCAAAGGAAGATATGTGTGTTTATGTTCCTGTCCAACTTGAAGACAAGGTAAATGTGGATAACGTAGTTTCATTTTATATTTATCCAAGAAATATTTGGCTACTGTGCATTCTACTGTCTGACCATTTTCTAGTTGCAGTGGAAATCTAAAAAAGGTTTATAAAATAACAATAATTTATATGTAAATTAAACTTTGAGATCAATGTCTTACGATTGCATTTGAGCAGGTCTTCTTGTGACATTACATACTCTGTATTTTCTTCGCATTGCGCCACAATGTGTAATTTCAATTTTTAAACCTTTTATTTCTTTTGTAAATTTAACTCTCTGGGAATCTGTTAAAGGTTTCCGTTGTTCACCAATATCCCTAATGTCCAACACTTCACACATGAATTCTATTACTGGTTGAGCTTTGTAAAAAGCAGTTGCTGACACTATATAATTTAATAAAAATACAAATTATAAAGATGATTTTTTTTTTGATTTTTCAAAAAAATTACCATCAATATTAAGCATCATTTTCCATTGAGACGGTCGAACCGATTGATGAAAACCAAACCAAACTTCTCTACCACCACCCAATGGATGATAGTATCCTTCAGGTGAAGAAAAAAATGATCGACCAACTGGTGTATAAGTCATAGATGGAAGATGTCTCATGACTACATCTAGAGCCTATTAAAATAAAACAATTAGAATAATATGAAACGAAGAAAAAAAAATTGTTGATATTAACTATTAAATTAACTTGCCAAAATAGCATCATAAGGAATTTGTCTTGTGCGACCTTCTAAAGCTTCTTCTAAAGCAAATAAAGATACTTGCGCTAACCATTTAATATTTACACGAAATACTCTATCTTTGCCTTCGCCGGGCAATGTTACCTAAGATTAGGGAAAAAGTAATTTAATATTATATTAATAATTTTTGAAATAAACCATACTTCCAATTCCATTCGATCATTTCCAATAGGCAGTGGATCTCTTGTGTATAAATTATTGCGGCCATCAAATACCGGCCGAAGATTACCAAAAAGTTTACTATATGCATGAACCATAGTTTCGATAATTTCACGATTGACTTTTCGTGGACATTTATCAGGTTGAATGTTAATGTCATAATGGTGTACATAACCACGTGGCATAGATATTTGGAAGTGATTAGCACGTAATACAATTGGCCGGCCTTCTCGTCCCAAATTAGGTCGACGTGGACAATTAAATACTATTAATAAACAAAACAATATTTGAAATTAAAGTTATTAATAAATTATTTCAGAACAAGTAGTTTTTTTTTTTTTTTTTAAATATTAAACCATACCAGGAACATCAACCAACTGTGGTTGCAATGCAGGGGCCTGAGGTTGAAGAACGCCCATTGCTCCAGGTACACCGACTGGTACTGGGGCCACAACAGGTGGTGCTGGTGCTAAAAATATTAAGTTTTAAATTATTTAGTAATTAAAATAATCTGTATTATTGTCGTCTGCTTATTATAAATATACATAAAACTGTTCAAATAAAAATGCCTATGAAAATTATAGTTAGGTACAAAGTAAAAAATATAGTTTAAAAATATTTTAAGAAAACTTTTATCAAAATATAATATTATCAAGGGAAAGTTTGAAATGGCTAATAATTAATTAAATATGTAAACAAAACGCATATTTGACTTAATAGGTATATTTATCTCCAGCAATCAATAAATAATTCAATATTTTCATATCACCTACTGCAAATACTACTATAATTAAATATAAATTATAAAGGGTGATTTTTTTTTAAGCATGTTCATCCCATTTTTATAATTAAATTAATTAAAATATATTCTAAATTTTTGGAAATTTCAAGTATGTTTAAAGACAATATTTTTTAATAGTTTTTGAGTTTTCACAACATATAAGGAGTGGCAATACCAAATTTGTTTTTCAAATGAAAACTTATATGATTATTCAAATTGAATGGGTACTGGTGATATTTCTGAAAATTTTGATGTATTGTAATCAAAATTTGAACAAAAAGATTCAGAGTTATTTACTTTAAATACTAAGAATAATAGTGTATTAAATACATTATAAATGTGTACCAGTTTGGTAGTATTAATTTATAAGCAATTTCATTAATATTAAAAGAATTTTCCGAGTATATTTGACTAAGCAATGACTAATGACTATTAAAAAATATTCCATATTTTATACTTAATTATAATTAGCTAACTCATACTTATTTAACAAACTAATATTCTAAGTATTTAAAATAGAATAACTCAAAAACTTTTCATTAAAATTTTGATAACAAATCAAAATCATTTGATTCACAATTTGCATTAAAACATGTAGGTTCTTATTTGAAAAACCAAGTTGATATAGCCACAAGATACTACTTAAATGTTGAAAAAAATTTAAATATTCGAAAATATCGGCCATACTTTACATTTTACTTTTAATTCCAAAAACCATAATTTGATTTAATGCATAATTTTTCCATAAAAATGGGATAAGCATACTTAAAAAATTACACTGTATTATTTTACACATAGGTATAACATAATTAAATTCTATGGAAATATAATACTATAATTTTGTTATTTTTATAATTAATATTGTAATTTGGCATCATTGTAAAAAAAAAAAAAAATAAGGAGAGAAATGTCCAGTCTACAGTTGAAATGTGAGGGAAAAATGTCTGAATACCATTTTAAACAATTTAGATGGGTATTTAAATTAAAATATGTATACAAGGATCTACCTAGATATACTATTAACAAATTTAAACATATTTGATCAAAAAACAGTAAATAAAGTGAATATTTATGTACCTATCTATCTAGTATCTTAATTCTATAAAGTGCCATTATTTTGAATGTTTATAATAATTAGTATTGATAAACATATATTAAAACTACTTTTATGTTTTTTTAATTTAAAGTTAGGTTAGGTAAGAAAAACATTTCTTTTTTTATTGTCAGTAGTCCCTTAAATAGTAAAATGTATCCATTATTTAGAGTTTTGATAGAAAACGAATCAACTATATTGACAAACAACAAAGTACAGACAAGACAAAAATAATGATCACAAAAAAATACTGTTTACAAATAATTGGCGCGCGAAACCAATTTTCACGGGTACTAAACTGTCGCGTTTTCTATTTCATTTGATAGAATTTATTGTGGTGTAAAATGTAAACAATACACAGAATATCTCACATCGCGTGCGACAAAGCGGTGCAAGTATCTTTATCGGCGAACGTCCAACGATAGGAACACAGCGGCGGGGTTGGACAGTCAGATGCAGGGATTAATCGTCCAATAAAAATAGACAAATTCACGAAAATTGTGAAGAATAAGCCAAAGACCGCGGCCCAGATTAAAAATGGATGGCCCAAAAAGTCTAATCAGCCAAATACGAAACGAAACCTCCGATATATTCTGAGAATGGAGGTCATTGCCTCCGTTGATCAATTACACACAAAGATACAGCGGCGCGAATGTGGTGCATGTACTCACGTTGCCCGACAGGATACATGACTTGATCCGTTGTTGACGGTGACGGCAAAAACCTTTTAACACTACAAACAACTAGTGTTGGACATTGGTGGTGGTGAGGATCAACTGAACGAATACATTTTTATGAAACAATAATTATTAAATTAAAGGCCGAAAGGCTGATTACAAAAAAAAAAAAAACCACAACAAACTACACACGTAGATCCAAACCCACCGACCAGTGTTGCCCAACTGGATACGTTAGCTCGATCGACTAAATAATAATAATGATGGCGGACGGTCACCACGACCGTGGTAGGAAACATAAACATAACCTCAATTATATGTAAACGGTATTGTCAGAAATGGTATCAAAATTGTTCGCACTGGCACTGCTGTCTGCTACGGAGAATAATAATATACTCACGCAGGGATTTTATTGATTACTGCCCAAAAGTGAATTGCATTTGGTGTTGTTAATAGAAACTATGTCGCTGCCATTTTCCGGCTCGAAATCGAAGTCAACGGGTGTAGTGAGTGCAATAAAGAAACAATCGTTGCTGTTAAATCTCAAACCGGTGAAAAAAGTATTAATCAAATTTGATCCTTTTGCCCAAAATGCTGTCACGGCCAGGTAATTGTTTTCATTCGTGATAGTGATGTATTTAAATTACTAAGGTTTCTTTTTTTTTTTTAATTTTGAAGCCATTATGGTTTGTTGTTTGGCCTAAGAAAAAAATGTAGTAATATTCATAAATGATTCGTACCTATACATATACTTCACCACAATTAATTCGAAACAAAATTTTCCATATTCTCACCCCATACTACTCATCCCAGGTTTCTGGGCCTGAAAAAAAATATTCAATTTTGCCCTTATATCTATCCTATGCCATAAACAATCAGTACCATTATATAAATATATATATATTTTTTTTTTAATATACATTTACTAAATTAAATAGAATATAGTAATATTATAGATTTAAAATAAATTACATCACGTTCTCTATATATCAGATTACCAGCTAATATATTACGTAGAACAACTCATATTTTACAAAAATAGTTGTTGATAGACAAATGAAAAGTATGACTGCAAATTATTTATAATGCAGGATAGGTATGAGAAATGATTCTTTCTTTCAAAATGTTGAAAAAATTTTTCCACACATAAAATCATTGTTTTATTAATTATAATTTTGAATAAAATAACTATAGATTATTGCTAAATATTGATAATATTAAAATGTTTAAAAACCTTATAGTTCCTTCTACTAAAGTTAATCATATTTTTAATGGACTTTTAACTATAATTTATTTAATTACCTTTAAGAATAATATTAAAATAACTACTAATTGTGCTAATAATTCCTATAATATAAACAAGTAACAAAATATAAATAAAATAATTGATCTATAGATACAACATGAATTTAATTTTGTTTAGATTAATTTTCAATTTGAATGGCTAATCCATATGTATATGTTTTCCTTACTATAGTAGTCCACACATAACTTGGTTGGGTGCTGGCTTGATATAGTTTACTATAAATATACAAATAAAGAAACCTTAGCTAGCTGTAATCACTTCCAAGTTATGCTGGATGATTGCACACCAAACAGAAAAACATGATTTTATAATATAAGGTGTTAAATACTAATGGATATGTTTTGAATCGTATATATATATAATATTTGTAATAATTAAAATATTTACTTCCATTGCAATGTCCATTAATGTTTTCATAAACTGGTTTAAAATTAATTTGTTGCTCCCTTTGTATTACAAAATTGGCTTCCATGACTAGTTTATAATATTTATCCTGAAATAATAAAATAAGGTTCATACAATATACAATTAATATATACTGTTCAAATTATTATTAATGTATATTAGTTTTTTTTTTTTTTTTATAGAAATTTTATGTACTATTTATTATCGCCGAAAGTAATCAACACAAATCCCCTTTGTCTTGTAAGAACAGAAGTTGAGAATAATAGAAGTGAACCAACTGTGGAAGCTTCTTTAGGTAAACTATTTTATTATTCATAATAATATAATAAATATATTATTATATATTTTATATATTTATAATACATATATTTGAATGTGTATTTGTAGTGAATGGTGAATCAGTGTTATTTAAATGTAATAACTTGACTGTTTTGGAAATATTTCAACAATTTAATAAACATATAACTCCATTAGCACCTAAAGAAGAATTAGTTGTATCTACGACGAAGATAGACAAAAAAAAAGGAAAACGATAAAATAAAATGGCTAAAAAGGAACATTATACTAAAACAATCATCAATGGATTCTATAATCAGATGCCAGCTTTTGCAGATGTGTTTGATGAAGAGTCGTGGTATTTATTTGTAATATGTTTAGTGGGGTTCACATTAATAGTCGTTTACATTTTATCTAAATTTATAAAATTACAACCTGTAGATTGGTAATGTATTTTATTTGTAGAATAAATTAGTAATTTTAAATGAATTATAAGTTTTTTATTTTAATATGTAAACACTTGGTAACTTATTTTGTTTTAATTAAAGACTTGTAGCATTATTAAAATAATTATATTAGGTAAATATAATATTTTTCTTTCTTTAGGTATATTTATTTATTTAAATTAGTTAATTTAACTTACGATCAAAATAATTTATCTTTGATATTACAATACAACTAATTTAACTTTGCAATCATAACTTAACAAATATCAAAAAATGAGTTTTCTGATCCGTAGAAAGCTAACCATTCTACTGAATTTTGAATAAACTTCAACTATAATATTATGTAAATACAATAATAAACTTCTACTAAATTGTTCTGTACACATGTTTTTTCATATATTGTGTTTGAAATTATAAACCATGGCAGCCATTTCAATCTATGCTTACAACTGTGCCACACCATTAATAAAAAGAACACTTTGTACTTCTAATAGTAAATGGGCTCTAATAAACTGTTATCATAGAGGAATTATTTTAAATTTTTGTGTATGAATATAATGTCTAAGAATTGGATATAAAACTATTTAAGTTACATTTAGTTTTTATTAAATTTTCAGCAAAAACTAGTTTTTAATTATACACGACCTGACAGTATAAGTGAATGCAAATATTTAAATTAAATCAATCATCATTCAAATATTTGTTTGTTCTTCAAAATAAATTAATATTATAATAATACTAGTACTAAATGTGAGGTTATGTATACAAATTAGTATTTACTGAAGTTTTAGGAAAAACTAGGTGTAAATTTAAAAAGTTTACACTTTTACTGTAGTTGTTTTTACTGCAATACATACCTATAATACATTAGAAATATATTATATTTGCCTATTTTACTTACAAAATAAATGCAATTAATTTTAAAATGGCATTAATGAATAATTGTTGCTATAACGTTATTATTAAAATGAAATATTGCACTTAATAATTAAACATTTAGAAAAAAATTGTAAACCTACAAATTAGTTATTCGTAAATAAATTATGTACTATATGTTTTACAAGAATTAATAATTTTAAACTCAAAATTAAATATTAATTATTTTTACATTTTATCTTAATAAATGTGTTTAGGTAATATTTACTTCAAAAGAATTACTAGTCTGTTGTAGTAATAAATATAAGTGTTAATGTGTTATATTATTAATTTATACAACAAGATGTACCTAAAAAAAAATTCCCACGACTTGAAACTTTTCTAAAGCCAGAGAATATATATGAAATTCTGAAATTTTACTTTTAAACTTCAAATCTCCTAAATTTTCTAAAAATTAATTATTCAAAGTTCAAAAAATATAAATAATGTTATTATTTACAATTTCCAGACTGGATACATTCAAAAGTAATAATTCTATTCAAATTTGTTTTATTGCATACCCTTGTACTTCATGTAATCATTGCCATTTTTATCAATTACTTTTTGTATCTTCTCATTTTTTAGAAATGTATTTTTATAGAGTTGTCAAATATTTCCCCCTGAAATAGAGACTAGGTATATTTCTCTTCATACTTAAAGATATTTTTAGTGGTATCTTTAAACCAAATTAATTCTAATTCTGAAATAAGAATTTTTTATTATGGACATTTTGGTTGAATTTCATATGAATTTTCACAATGTGGTGGGAGGAAGATTTCTTTAGCATATAAAATTTCAACTTTTTCCCAGGCCCAAATTTAACAAGAATACCACATTTTAAATACCCCTACAGACTAAAATGTAATACAATTCTGCCAACTATAACTGTTTTAGATAAATTATAAAAAAAAAGATATTGTTACGGTAACAAGTCTGCTGGGGAAAAATGTACCCTAGTAATGGAGCTCTGAACAAGTATTTTCATTATGGTTAGGTATAAAAATTCAAACTTGGGTCAACCGTATATATATATTTTTGTTAATGATTGATTTTAATTGTAATTCTTATCTTCGATTATGAAATAATCTTATTGTTTCAATTATAATATATAACCTGTTTATTAATTATTAGTTGAAGTTTATAATAATTTATTAAATTGATAATTAAATATAATTTGAGATATTTAAAAATAAAATCAAGTTAAATAATTTAAAAAAAAAAAAACAGGAAAACCAATTAATTGATTTGATTGAATATATTTATATAAAACTTTTTTTTTTTTTTTTTTTAAATGAACATAACAATTTATACCACTTGGGTACAATAATATAAAACTTATATTTCTTAAAATATAGTAAAAGTATAATGTTGCAATAGAGCCGGGCAAGTGTGGCCAAAGTTTCGCGTTTTATACACTTATGATGTAAAGAAGAAGAAGTTTGCTTGTTTTCATTAAACTATTTACATGTAAAATCATAAAATATGAATGATAAAAATTAATTTTTTTTATTCAATTTGACCAATTATTAAAACAAATCCAATTGATAAACTGATAGTTTATGGTGTTAAATCAACCCCCCCCCCCTTCTTTAGTAGCCATGTTTATGTCAACAGAAATGTTTGGGTATTTTTATTCTATATAGAGTTTGTTATGTCATTAATTTTAAAATATACTAGCTAATGGTTTGCTATTGCTAGATAATAATAGTGAAAATAATAGTAATAATAATAATAGTTCTTTGTCTGTGATAACCAAATTGTCATCCATATTACCGAGGTAACCTACGAATAAACAAAAATAAATAAACAATTATATATTTGTACCAGAAATATCTAAATACCTAATAATTGAAATTTTCGCAAGAATCTCCTATGTTTCTGAAAATAAAATACAGCCGATGTTACTCTGATAACGTAGCTTTTTATTGGTGAAAGAAGTTTTTAAATTGGTTAAGTAGTTTTCGAGCTTAACCGTTACAAACAAACAAACGAAACAAAACTCAAATTTCACGAAAACATATTTTTTTTACTATTTATGAGGTTTTTAATATTTTCTAATTCGATTATTTAACATGATCGACGTGATAATCTAAAATGATAAAACTTTCTGATTAGAATGACAGATCAGTGTTTTTGTGTGGACAGTCTGTATTATGCGCCAATTGTACACCAATGCGGTCAAAATAGAATAAATGTGATGCACAAATTATGTTTTTAATTTATTTGAGAGTAGTGCCACCCTTTGATTAAGTCGTGAACAATCTATATCTAAAACAAATAAATATTAACATTCGGGAAAAGTCGAAAACCTTTTTTATGAATGTACTAAATGTGCCTAATGTATTGTTTTAGTGGTCTAAAACCATCTTCACATTATTGCCTTTCTAATAAAACCGGTTTGGGGCACATCGGTTGGATAGTTTCAAAGTCAATAACGGACACAGGTAGAAACAATTTTTGTGTTATATAATTAAATGCTATACAAAAATACACTCAGTTCGCGGTATCTTATGATTAATAAATACTGTGCGATACTTAAGATACTCAAAGATTTAATCAAATTGTTTTTTACTTCGTGGAATATCCGTATTCACGCAGTGTTGAATTCAGTTGTTATGTATAACTTATTTATTGTTTACAATGTCTGTTCAATTCTAAAATATAAACGACACAATATTTGAGTAATATTCAATGGTTTGAAATAGTGTGTTACCTTTTTGTAGCTACACAGGAAGCGTATGGATTTATTTTGGTAAGTAGCGTATAGCGCAATAAAACTAATTTATTCGTAAGGAAAGGCGTACAAATCGGTACTTTTTATCACTATGAAATTGCGAATTTCATAACAATGATATTCTATAATTTGTTATTACTTATTTTTATTTCATACAGTGTTATCCTTATTATAATAATTCTGTAAATATTTTTTTTTTCAATCGGGTTTTGTGTCAGAGTAACACAAATCTAAAGAAAAATTAAATTTTTATTTCATCCCTTAATGACTAAAAAAAAAATACGTTTTATTTTTTAACTTTAAAATTTTCAAAATATCCAATTTTTAAAAATATATTGTTCAAATTTTAATATAGCATACATTCATATCCGATCAAAAGTTTTTTAGTAATAGTCGTTTTAATTTCTAGAAAATTGGCGCGAAAACAATTAATATTCAATATAAGATAAGGAATTACCTTGCTGAGTCTGATTCCTTATCGCGTGACATGCTATTGTATTGAATATTAATTGTTTTCACGTCTATTTTCTATACATTAAAGCAGCTATTACTAATAAATAAACTATTGATCAGATGATATAAATGTATGATAACATTCAAATTTCTAGAATAATATAGGTATTTACAAAATGACTATTTTGAAAAGAAATAAAATACAAATTTAATTTCTTTCTACATGATGTATGTCCCCCTCGTACAAAACCCGATTGAAAAAAAAATGAATATCGACAGTTATTAGCATATGGTTAACACTGTAAGATATGTACTCTGTATAGCAAAATAAAATATGGAACATATTTCACTTGTCAGAAAGAACAAACGTAAATACGTTTTTGTTATATTCCGTGTGTTCCTAAATTCAGCACATTGATCAGCCGCTAGATTTAACTGTTTCTAAACTCAGCTGCTGACCAGTCTGTTGGAGGGGAAGTGATCAATCGGGTTGTTTTATCAACAATCTGATATTTTATGGATTGAATAGTGTTTAACTAGATGGATGTGATAAACACTTTACTCACCAAAAATTAAAACTAATTTATTAACCTATATTTGATAAAAATTAAAAAAATATATTCTGTTAAAATTTGTTGTCTAATGTACTAATGTGTTTCCAAATTCCAACACTCGACGTGTATAAAAGAATGGAAATACTTTTATAAAAAATTTAGATTTAGATGCTGACTCGATTTGTATATCATTTAACCCTAGTATGTATACCTATACCTATATTATATTTTATTGTTATTTTTAATCAAATGTTTTATACTTATAGATCTTAATGAAAATAATGAAAAATGATAAGAATAAAATATTGGTGATTATGGCTTATTGGTAACCTTAAATGGTATTAACCAATATGTTCTAACTGAATAACTGTGTTATTAAACTCTATCAATATGCTGAGCAATCAGCTAGATTAGCAGATTTTTTAGGAACACACGGATTATACAGGATGATTTTTTTTTTATTATGAACCAGCAATTATCTTAAAGAATTTTAAGTGAATTTGATTTCTGTTTTTTCTAATCATTATCGAATTGTTTAAGCTTTATTTTAAAACCATTTTTAATTTTTTTTTCCCCTACTCCATATACCTTAAATGAGAACATACTTTTGATTTTGCAATAGGAACCCTCCCTTATGAATAAACACCATTTTGCTAGAAATGTTGATAGCATTTTTATGATAATATCATATATATCTATTTTCATAGAGACATAGGCAATTTATCACCCTGCATTACTCCTCCGGTCTAAACTTTAAACTGTTATAATTCATAAACAGTAAATCTGATATTAGTGTTATGCATAATATCAAAATTTCTAGAAAACTTCTCTATTCAAATCTATGTTCAAAAGGGGGGTGAGTCCTATTTAAAAATCAAAAGTATGCATCTATTTAAGGTATATGGAGTAGGGGTAAAATATTAAAAATGGTTTTAAAATAAAGCTTAACGATTCCATAATGATAAGAAAAAACAAATCAAATTAACTTAAAATCCTCCAAGATAATTGCTCGCTTATGATAAAAATATCAGCCTAGATTGTAATAATTAATATTTAAGGTATATATAAGATAGATAAAAATAAAAAAGTCCCCTTTTATAAATCGAAAAAATAGTACATTATACTTTTTAAAAAAGCAAATTTTGTATCGTTCGATACTTTTTTAAGGAACTGCTTTTCAAAAATCTATTGATAGTGATAAGCGTACTATAGATTGAAATAAGTAATTTACAACCACTGGTTGGAACAATATTATTTTATTTATTATCTTACAAACGCATTGTTTTATAAAATAATTATGTAGGTACTGCGTAAGCTATTATTTTACATGGAAACGTTCAATTGTATTGGGTGGGTGCGTGAGTAGCGATATCCTACGAGGAATATTTCCGGGAAAGTTCTTCGAAATCACTTTTCCCACTTTCAAGTCTTCCCCAAAATATAATTATTATGTGACTATCAAATTGTATTATTTTATTTTAAAAGACCATATAAACATCTTATCCATAATATGATTGGACAATTATCATTTTTTTTTATCTGTCGAATTGGTCGTGGCTCGCGTTATCTGACAGATAAACGTGCTTGAAAAACCGGGCCACTAACTTTTTTTTACCTACATTTTATCCTTCTGCCTAATTAATTTGTATTTATTTAAATGTACACACAACTGCACAGTACACAAAATGGACGTATAGTTGTGTCATTATGTGTTGTTCGAAAGTTAAGTAATGTTCATAAAATATAGTTTCCCCATTTGAGGAACATTCCCAGGAACTTTCCAAGGAAAGTGTCAATCCCTATTGGTGAGTGCCTGGATGTTCAAAAATATATAACAAAAATGATTACGTATGTTTTTACAAAACAAAAGTTATTAAAAGATTGGTAGACTGCGGAAATTTGATTAAATTATTTGAAAGACTCCCAAAGAAACGTGGTTTGTATCCCTGTGGTTGGTAGATTTTGGGGAAGTTTTGGTAGGAGAGGATGGGTGGAAAATTAAATCGGTGATTTTAAGGTAAAAATACTTCGAGCTGCCATTGATTAGTGGAGCTGTATAGGATCGGACTAGAACACTGATGTACTGAGGCAGACCACGAAAGTCCCCGCTGATAATTTGGTTAATGTGGCCCACATAAGTAATAAATAATATGTATACAATTATATACATATACATATATTTCATAAATACTGAAATACATGATTATGCGTCATACTGTATGCGACAACACGGCCTATAGAATAATACATACTATACAAATATTATGTATCCTATAGTTTATTGAATTTCTTCATTTCGTGGAAAGAAGGATTGTTAAAATTTAAGGTACCACGAAATTACATGAACTACAGTTCATAAAACAAATATAGTAATTTTGTCGCTCTGAAAAAATTTAAACTAACGTCTTTATGTACAATAATAATTTATGATCGTCTTTAAAAAAAAGTAATAAGCTATTTGTCCTTTTATGAAAATACATTGAAGAAAATGTAAATTTAGATTAATTTTCGAGCGGTTATTTTTTCGTTGATGTGCTGATCAAAAATCCCTCTCTTCCCCATCAACAACTGAAATGATTCCATTGCGAGGGGAAGAAGTGATGATACCTATGATGTATAGTATGGTTTGATATAAAGTGTACAGTATGAAAAAGTACATATTTTTATCTCTAATATCGGCATAAGCTATCGGTATAGGGCGAAAGCATTACATTTCTACATCTATACGGAACATTTAGCATAAAAATGCGTTTCAGTGGGTAGAGTTTCATTTCGAGGACAGAAACCCATGAGATAATAAATGTAGTATTTTAATTAGCTATCTTTGGAGTGCAAATCGCTCTTTCTCTCACACTAGGTTTTATATTATCATGCTATCTCTCTTAATCCGTTCGAACCGACCATGTCTCCCAGTCCTCCGGGTGAATGTTTCACTTAGAAGTATAAGTCTATGAATATCAAATATCGGTAAAGAGTGGTATTGGGCTAATCCTAATTATTAGGACCTCGCGAAACTTAACGACGGTCCTGTGTTGCAATCAAAGGATGTATAATTGTTTGTCAATAATTTCAATAGGTCAAATTTCACATACTTGTGTAAATAATTAATAAATATACATTTTTGAGTAAATTATAAATAATTATACAACTTAATCCTACAAAAAATAGAATAGTTTTTTTTCTTTAAAAAAAAATTCCAATAAAACTGAATTAATTATATACACCTGTAAATAAAAATCAATTTTTTATTACCAATATGTATGAGAATTGTGTCTATAAAATAATTATTTATTTGAATAAATACATCAATGCATCAATTTAATTAAAGAAAAAATGTATGTGAAGGTTTTAAATCAGATCTGTTTTGATTATATTATAAAATGTCAATATCAAATATAATAAACCATTACAATCAATTAAGATATTAATAAATGAGATTAATTTATTGTGTTAAGAGACAGTTTACTTTTTTCTCGGGTCCCAATTTTGTACCCAATTTACATATTTTGAATTATATTCTTTAAGATTTAATCACTGGTTATATCTCAATTATTTGTACAACCAATACAAATTTAGTTTAGTTTAGTATTTTTTAGTTTATTAAAATTGAGTGAGTATATTTTTAGAAATTGACTCGAATTTATCTGTTTTTATATATTTTATTCTACCAATTTAATATTATAGATAGACTATAATAAAAATTTTGATTTTAATCTAATAGTTCAAAGTACTTACTTATAGAATTTTATTTCGTATATAATTATATGTAATAAATAATAATAATATTAAAATATATAGGTATTCGCGAATGATTATAATTTGTATTTTCCGTTTAAATTATTTATATATACATGTGTGGTTTGTTAATGAGTAAGTACTTATACATAAATAAATATTTGTTTTTAAGTTTACATACTTTAATTTGAAAAATAATATCAATTACGAAAGTATATTTTGAGAATTCAATTTTCTCACTTAAATAATGAACATAGATTTCTAATATTTGTGTTGAACTGATTGATTGTCATAATAAACTCGTTATACAGCACTTTTAAATAATTTGGCCGTAATAATTTATTCCTATACGAAGGTCATTCTAAAAATATATCAATTCTGAGATGTTTTTTATTATTATGTCAATTTTGTGTGCCTTCGAAGCATGACATTTTTTTTCTTTACACATATAACCAACATTGGCAGCCTTTAGTTTCCAGTCATCTCATTACGTTTAATAATACAATAAGGACCTGGAGGGGACTATAAAACAGCCGAAGATATTTCAACCTATCGTATTTTAGACGAAATAACTGAGCATCAACTTGTAAATTTCTTATCATCTTTTATTGTAAGATTATATTTTAATTTTTAATCAAACAAATATTATGTTGGATTATAACAATTTGAAAGAATGTGCAAATCTTGAATTATTGTACCACTACAATGTTATTATATTATTATCTATAATGTTAACCAGCAGGCAGCCATTATTACTCATTAGAAATTGTTAGGATTTTTTACGGTCTCCTGAAAATCTGTAATATTTTCGGATAAAATACAATGCGGCCAAAATAATTTTCTTTTAACTAATTTTTTAGACTTTTAAGCGATTCGCCGATCGATTAAATAGTGATAATAGTTTACTAAATTGTACTTATTGTCCCCAATATAAGGGAGGGACGTTTTATAGGGAGTGGCAATGAACTACTGAGTTGGCATAGTATAACAATAAATTGACACTATTCGTAACAATATTATATATTATAATCTATTTTTTTTTTTTATACTATGTACAAAAATTCTACCGGAAATCTTGCTCAGCATTATTTCTGAAAGGAAATGTGGTCCAGATAGTATTTTTGGGAGGTCATTTTTTTGATTTTCCAAGCGATTTTCATAATATCTGGGAAAAACCAGAATACAACTTAAGAAAAACGGAAAATTTTCGTTTTTTTATTTGTTGTAATTCAGTTTAAAATATTCGTAAAAACTTGAAATTTGGATAGAAAACTTATATTTGCCTTTTCTAGATATGATCAAATTTTTGAAATATTTTTGCCACTTTTAAGCTTTTTATAAAAATTTTAATATTTTTGTTGAAATTTGGTTAAAAATATTCGTATCGACTTTATGGACTTGAAATTTAGACAAAACATTTATATTTTCCTTTTCTAGACGTGGTAAAATTTTCAAAAAATTTAAGTCATTTTTGAGTTATTTATAGACATTATTTTGCGAGTTTTGTACGTAATTTGTATTCAGTAATTACTCTGTGGCAAAATTGTTAGACTTAACAGAAATGCTTGAAAATTTAACGGGGGTTCATTAAGAGTCTTACTTTTTTGGTCAAAAAAATAAAATTTGAGTTTAGTGTAGTGTTTATTTTTAGAAAGGAAGTTTAATATCAAACTTTGTCGAAAATCGTTGAGTAAAAAATTATGTGGAACAAATCTAATTTTTCAATTTTTTTTTTTTTTTTTTTATATATGAACATTTGTATATTGCTGACTTAAGAACAATGGTGAAGTTAGAATTGAGCGGACTGACTAAGTTTCGAAATTATAGATTTTTGAAGTTCTGATATTATGCGGATATTAATATTATATGTAATGCTAAATAATTAAATATTGCTTTATCTAAAGTACGTCGCAGTTGAATGAATACATACCTATTTTCATCTTAGGGAACGCGTGTTTAGAAAAAAAAATCCAAACAATTTTTTTTTTCTCTTTTACCTAAACAAGGAAAAAACAAATGCATTTTGAGTGTATCTAGAAATCAAAGCCATTGATTGCTCGGACTGTTTTAATCGCAATGTACCCCTCGATTTGATGCACAAACTTTTATACCAAAAATCTTGCTCCGATGTATCAATCAAGTATAGCTTATTTTCTGAAAAGAAATTTTATCTCCATGATAACTTAAAGAGGTAATTCTATGATTTTCCCAGAATTTTTCCCAATAAATGGGGAAAATCGTGAAAAACGGACAAAAAACGGGAAAATGTACTACATTAGTAAAATATTACGATTTTTCTGTTGATAACTTTTCCACCAGCAATTTTCTCCGATTTACAATGATAGCACTTTTTCTAAAAAGAAATCTAACTGGAGAGATACTTTAAAAAGGTAATTTTTCGATTTTCTCAGCAAATGTGAAAAACCGGAGGAAAATCGGGAAAATCGGTACAACATCATATTATCATATTATTATTATTACCTATTTAATTATTTTACCATAATATGATATATATATATATTATTGACAATGCATCACTATCAACTGAATTTCGCTCAGAATCGTTTTTGTTAGCAATGGTTTATTTATCATTGCTTACAGAAATACATTAAATTACTTATGACAGTGGTTGCACCCTACCCCATTATCCTAGGACGTCTTTTTTAATTTTCATTATAAATAAAATTAAAATTAGGTAGACACTTTTTGTATAATGACTGTGATATAAAAGTCTTGAATATCAGTAATAGAAATGACAAGTTTTTTAATTTTTACCCAAGGTGCAAAATGGTTACATTTCTAAATTTCCATAATGTAATATTCTATTTTATTAGATATCTACAGTCTGAAAATTCCCAGTTAACTTCAAAAATTATCATAATTATTCGTCGGTTATTGCGAACCTTACTTGAAGGATCGGCTCCAGAGACTTGGTTGGGAGTGGGCTAAGTCATATTTTTCAGAAAACTATAACCAAAAGCATACTTAATATTTTATAGTTTATTTATATTTTATAGTATAGATAATAGATGCCTGTAACTACACAATTTTTACTACAACTTTTTCCGGTTTTCCTATGTTTTTCCATTTATTGCGAATATTCTTGGGAAGAATCCAAAAAATAACTTCCTTAAAGTACAGCCAAAGTCAGATTTACTTTCAGAAAAAGTGCTATCATTCCAAATTGGAGCAAAATTGCAAAAGAATACCTACCGAATAAAAATTACGTAAAAGATTCGCAAAATTAAAATGTCTATGAATTGCTTAAAAATGGCTTAAATGTATTGAATTTTGAAATTTTTACCACGTCTAGAAAAGGCAAATATAAGTTTTCTGTGCAAATTTCGAGTCCCTATGGTAGCGCAAAATCGACACTGCTGAACGCAGATTTGCTATGCCGTGACACCACACGATGTGAGTGTGAAAGTTTGTCGTCACGATTGCGTGAATATCCAATACAGTTATCACGTCGTTGCCCATAGGTATTAGGTACATTCATAAATAATTATGTGCAAACGATAAAATTGTATTAAATTGTTCCGAAACTTTTCAAAATATTGAATGTCTGAAACGTAAATATTACATTTTTGTATTGACGTTACTGAAATAACATGGTTGCACAATGCCACCGTTTCTGGAAACCTGTAAAAAAATCTAGGCATTTTCATAAAAATTATTTCTAAATTTTTATGAAATTACCCAAAAGTAAAATTGGCAAGAAGCAGTCTTATAAATAGGCAGTCTATTTTTTTTTTTCAACAGTTTCACAACAAATATCAATTAAGTTCACATAAATAATATGGTGCCCCTATATAACAAAATGTTTTTTTTTTTTTTTTTTGATTCTATACAAAATATTATAACATACACCAATGTCGTATATAATTTTCTCTCGTTTAAAATAAACGGACATTTTTGGTATTAAAAAAAAAAAAATGGCGTTTAATTAAAAATGGATGAAATTAACAAAAATATTTGAACACGTCACATTATTATTATAACCTATCTAAACTAGCAATCCATTCTGGAAAGGTCAGTAGAAATTAATACATACGGTCGTGGGTAGAAATAGTCGAGTATTGATATTTAGAGAACGATTCGAGTATTAATTTTTCCTAGTCGGTAATAGTGAGTAATAGAAATTGGAAAAAACAATAAATATATAAACGTCGCTAATGTCATAATGCTATAACAATTAAAACGAAACAATAACAAATTGTTTGGATAAACTCCCACACAGTATTTTTATCGGAAATATTTGAGTTTGAAAGTGATATCTAGTTTATGCATTACATTCATGCATTTTATTCGTTTTGGTTTTTATTGGTTTTGAAAAAAAAAAACACAGTGGAGTATTACTAGAGCGAAGTCAGTGCAGTGCTGCGGTTTACTCGACTCGAGAATTGTCCCGAAGCCGAGTTACTCGCCCGACTCTCGGTGAAACCAGGGAATAACGGTGGCGACCACGGACTGAACGGCACAAAACGCTGTGTTCCGTATTTGTTGTAAATCGGCTTTTTTCACTTCTCTCCAACAGTACAAATATCGGGTATCGGTTCGGGTTGTCGCGGTGCGTTCGTTAAACGGCTGGTACGAAAAATAATCATAATAATCACGATGAATTCAGGTGAATAAATAACAGAACAGTAGTGCGGCCCGGCGCATTGTAATACACATCGGTACACTTGTCGACGGCGAGCGGCGATAACAGTAATAATAATAATAATAATAATAACAACAACAACAACAATAATAATAATCGTACCTATACACGTCGGTAATGACGCGTCGCGTACGCGTATAGATAATATGCGAGGCGCATTGCCAACACCGAAACCATTATCGTAGGACTTCACCGCGCGCGCCGCCGTACGATGCGATGTTATTATTATTTTTATCGGGTCGTGTCCGCGGGAGCGACTTTCGGTTCGCCGGCAACTCGCGTCCGAGGGATTTTACGATGTCGTGCGCGCGTGCACAACGATATCATTATTGTTATCGTCAGCTAACCGGCCTAATGGGAAAAAGGCGTTTCGAGGGATGTCCGCGCAACCGGCGACAATGTCGCTGTCGGTGTGCCGATTTTCACACGGAGTGTTCGCGGGGCGCGAAAGAACGGGAAGATGTTTCGAGAGACATACGACCCGTTGTCGTTTTTTAAGCCCGGCGCGAACACGTCACACTGCGACGGGGTACCCCGGTTGGCCTGGTTTTTATTAATACGCGGACACGACGACAGGCGACAATCGCGATCAATTCTACGTATCGCACACGCTACGTGTACTCACTGAACACGATAATGTACGCGGTTTCCCTCCTACTCTCGACCGTAACAATAATATACGTACGTGGTGGTGTGCCCGGGGATGATAATAATATTATTGTTATTATTATTGTGTTTACGCCGTTGTGGCGGACCAACTACAGCCGAGCGTATCGTCACTGATCTACTGAACTGAACCGGCGTCGTCTCAAGGTCAAGGTCTCACGCGTGCATCACCGTTTTCTTCGTCGGTCTCGCGACGGCCACGTACCGTACACTGCACGACGGCCACGACGGACACGATCGGTTGACCATTTTATTTTTTCATTCGTTTTTCAATGTAGTATTGTGTTAAATTCCTTGTTATTAATAATTCACCATCACGATAGCGATTCGACAATGTCTCGTGCGCGACTGCTGCTGCTCGGCTACGGCGGCGGACGTGGTTACCGTTCGGGCGAAAGTGATACGCGGCCCGGGCCAACCGGGTGAGAGTGCTGCGGCGTCGGAGACGGACAAGGTTTATTACAATAAGCCGGCCGGCCGGTCGGTCAGCACGAAAATCGTGACGATTGAATCGCAAACGAATTTTCGTTTTTCCCGTGCGGACCGCGGGGATAAATGCTGAAGGGGGGGATTCAATCGGGACGACCGAACGCGAACAGGCGAAATAGGTATAGATGCGAGCCGGACGGAATAACAATCAAAACGAAAACACTCCGGCGGCGGCGGCGGCGGCGACGACGACGACGACAACAACAATAACAAAACACACGCGGCGCGCGCGCAGCACTGTCTGTTCGTGTATCCACCGCGTCAGAACGTAGTTGCACCGCCACCGTCGCCGCCGCCACCACCAGCATCGCTCTTTCCGTCGACGTAACAGTACAGCTACCACCACCACCGTAGCCGACGTGAACGATTCCCCATCCCTTCGAATGACCGTCAAAAAAAGAGGGTGTACGACCGAAATAATAATCGATAGGCGGACGTGCAGCCTTTGTCAGGGTCACACACCCTCACGCAGTCGTCCGCGGACGCGAACGCGAACGCGGACGTGTTCTATAAGCCGCGTTTGTTAGGATGATAAAAATGAATTGACGGAACACGGATGATGCAAATCTACGAGAATCTCGTCTTTTTTAACCCTCCCCGTCGACCCGTAATTTGTAAAGTAATTAATATTGATTGTGTCGATTCAATCCGAACGAAATGTACCTAAGCGGCGCAGCTGCTCCTGCCGATGCGTTCAAGTGCTAAATTGTGAAGTGAACAGAAAAAAGAAAAAAAAACGCGACCATAGCATCTGCTACTCGTCCTCCGTATTGTGAAAAAGATGCGCACGCACGCACGCACACCGCCGCCGTACCTGACCCGGTCGTGAATCGGTGGCGTGTCGAGGAGCCGACGAACTGTTGTTGTTGTTGTTATTATGATCGCGGACGGCGCGCGGGGGAGACTCGTAACCCCAGACGTCTCGTCTTGCGTATCGTGCGTGGGCACTGGGTAGCGACGACGGCGGCGGCGCGACGGTAACGATTCCAAGCGAACGTTGTGTATACGCACGGTGCCCGGATACATACAGAGTGTTGCAAAACGTTTCAATTTTTTTTTTTTTTCACTACTTGAATTAATATTTTCTTATTTTATGACGCGGGTATTCTCGTGTCACACTAGTATATACCATTACACCGATCGTGTTATAATAAAGTAGGTATCTCTACTGTTATTGACATCGTCTCTTATCGCCCCGGGCCTTGGCCCATACACGGACAATTATAATCGCATTAAAAGTCGTTTACAATAATAATAATATAATATTGTTTTCCAAACTGAACATGATACGTTTCACGCGCGTGTATATCAGGCTGCAGGCTACTCAACCAGAGTTTCGACGTTACGCACCGTCCATTTGTCAATAAACACGAACCACGTACCTACCTACCGACCGAACCAAGTCGTTCCTGACAACCTGTTGACCACCAATCTCGTAAAATTCAATTAGCATTATTAATACATCAGTATTATAACAGTAGTGTATAGGTAACGATATTAAAAGGACGTTATACAGTATATTACGTCTGTAAGGATCCTATACGTCCCCTGTTCGAATCAAGCATTCCAGGGTCCCGATCAAACGTTCTAAACAATACTTTTATCCCGTATGTTCCTTATTTTTAAAATTTTAAAATTTAAATTTGTGTTTTCATTTTTAAATGAGAATAACATCTAGGCAAGTCAAATAATTTTATTTGCAACATAAATTGAAATTAACCGTTATAGCTCTTTTTTTCATTTATTTATTTTAAAATGCATACAATATTGAATATCAGGACCCTCGTGTGCTGCTCGCCCTCCCTGAGCGACCTCGTGTGGGGGCCCAGGAGTTGTTAAACTTTTAGCTGTTACGCTATTAAAACAACGAATAATAAAATAAAATAAAGTGAATCTAATTTTGCTTACAAGAAATACATATAACATTTTTTTTTTTTATTATTAAATATATTTCTTTATATATTACTACAAATACAAAAAAAAAAAAAACAGTAAATATAATAAGAATAGATAATATATTTACTGCTTTAAGCCTAGGCTTGTGGCGGAAAAGAGAGTTATCAAGTAAAAATTTGCATAAGTTAAAATTAAAATAAAACGAACAAAGAGGAAACATTTTACAATTTGACAAAAGAGAAGTAAAGATCACAAAATAAATAAATACTTAAAACTTTAACTAAAACACTTAATACATTAATAAAAAACAGACATCTTAATTAGGAATTTCATTAAAAAGAAATTACTTTAAAAAAAACCAATATGAATATTTTTTTTTTGTTATTGTTGGCAACTGATTAAAATAAATAATAAATAGGACCTAAGTAATCTACGAATGATTTCCCAAAAGATTTTCTTGTATATATCATAGATAAGTTAAAAACTCAGTGTTCTCTAAATTTATAAAAATCATATACATTGGTTTTATTTATTTAACATTAATTACAATAACAATTAATTAACAAACTAATCACCTTTATAATGCAGAGGCTAAAATGTGTATTTTTTCATATTGCACATTTTATAATCTTATCAAACCATAGTATATCATAAGTATCATCACACTCCCCCTCCCTTCGCCGTAATAAAATCATTTCTATTTTTGATAGGAGGGACGAATTTTTGATCAGAACATCAACGAAAAAATAACCGCTCGGAAATTAATCTCAATTTGCTCCTACATTTTCCCCAATGTATTGTCATAAAATAACAGTTTTTTTTTAAAAAAAGATTGAATTATAAATGAATACAGTAATTACCTATATGTACCTTAAAGATGTTACTTTAGATTTTCTCGAAGGAACTAAATTAGTATATTTGTTTTTTTTTTTTTATAGATTAAAACAAAAACAATTTTAAAAAATACACAACTTATACAATCTAAATAAATCAAATAGATGTTTTGAAATGCTAAAACCACTGTTCAAATGTTATATCCTGTCAAAAAAGTGTAAAACAACAATGTATAAAGTGTTTATTAGGCCAATTGCATTATTTGCCTATAGCCTTCAACGAAAAGCGGTGAAAAAAAAACCCAGCAATAATTAAAAGGAAAAAATTAAAACAAGTTATTTGGCCCCAAAAATAATAAGGAAACCAAAAAATATGAACGCAGAACCAATGGTGATTTGAATAGATTGTACAATCAACCGGATAAAGTAGCAATAATAAAGAGCAAACGAATTAGATGGACAGTACATGGACAGGTATATCATATATACATATATATCTAGGGCGCAGAAGGGAAAAATGATAAATAAAAAAGAGACCCTTGGGACAACTGAGACACCGATAGCGTAACCGTGTACATCAGAACCTAAGTTTTATAAGAGTAGAGAATACTGAAGGGATAGACAGATAGATAGAGAACAATAAAAAAGTGATAGTTGATGCAAGTAGCATAAATGGCTATTATGTCAAAATAAAAAAATTGGCACTCAATTATTTATAATTAATATTCATAATATTCAATAATAATAATAGTATACCTAAATTAGTATATTTATAAACTATATTCAAAAATATTTATTTTTTTTAAATTGCTTAATTTTTAATTAACTCATTATTTATTAACCGTATGCAAATATGTAACATAAAGATATGTTTAAAGATTAATTTATAAAACATTTTATCCACAAATCCAAGAAGTTTATTAATTTTATTCAAGGAACAGTATTTTTATTAAAACTACTTGTAAAACGTAAATATTACTTGGCGCGTTTTATAAATTATATATTAGCAATAATAAAATGTAAAAATTGTGTAACCCAATGAAGTAATAAAAGATAACTGATATCAGTATTTTAAACTATCGTCATTTATCTCTGATAGAACTATACAATCAGAATTGATAATATTGTGTTTCTATAATCATAAATGTACTTTCTGGTAAACCACGGGGTGGAGGTGGACATTTATTACCACTTTTATTTTTAGTGTCTATAAATGACATAATACAGTCTTACGGCATTGCAAATATTTACTGTTTACTGATGATCTGAAAATATTTCTTCAGATAATAATCTAGATCATAGGTTCTTAACCGATGGTCCATGAATCTCTTGGATGTCCGTAGATAATTACTCGAGGGTCCACGGAATGGCTGTGATTTTTTTTAAAATATATTTGTTTGAAATTAATTCAAATTATTCGATGAATCGAATGAAAATTGAGTTAATTGAAAATTAAATTTACACAATTATACACAAACCGATAATTACATCGACCTTAAATTTTTGCAAAATATTTACAACTGTAATCTGTAGGTATAGGTAGTCTATAAAGAACCATACCTTGACTACATTTCATTTTTTTACACTAAAGTAATTAATTATGTATGCTTTTCGGTTACATTTTATATAATTTATAAGTGTCCCCCAAAAGGGTGTTTGTTTTATAAATACAACATTTTGAGAATTAGTTTAAACATTTTTAATTTATATTATCATTATTATAAATGAAAAATACGGATGTTATTTAAATAAAATACCTAATTACAAACAATAATTTTTAGAATTATAATCTAAAATAATAATTAAAAAAAAAAAAAAAGACACAAAAGTAAATTATTAACACCCATTATATTATAATATTAACCTGTAAGAGTCGGTACGTAAATAGAAAAATATTTTTATTAATTTTTTTTAAATTCAGTATACAAAATACAATTAGGTATTATTATTAATATTTTAGATTGTGTATGTGTAGAAAGTAGATATTAGACACTTAAGATTTTATTAATATCGCTCTGTATGTATACGCAAATAATGAATGTCGATAATATTAGCAGAAAGGGAAGAGAGAGCTGGTACCTACCTAAAAACACAGTTCGCGAAACCGCGTGTCGTAAATTCTCACTATTACCTATTGTTATAGGTATTTTCAGTAAAATACCGATTAGTTATTGCAACAAGACCTTAAACAATTTTTCGTACAATTGTACGAAATATAGGCTATAATATGTATTTTCAATACCTATACTTAACACATACAAGTACTAAGTATAGGTATTGAACATATACACAGTCACATACACAGTCAATTTAACAAAACAGTATTAAATAGGTACTTAACATATAAAAAAAAACAATATTTAATATTATATACATATAGTGTGTATGTGTAAAGTAAAACATAGATAAGATAAATCTAAATTTAATGCACACTATAATAATATTAATAATGGTATTTTCGATGTTGCGATTATAACATCATATTAAAAACGTT